AGAAACTTTACGGAGGAAAGAAAAGTTTTAAACAACAGCAGATAAAGTTCCCATCCAACGGCAGACATACCATAGACATATTATGTGTTAGGGAGGCTTCAGCAGCTTGCTCTGTTTTGAATACAATGTAGGCATTGACACTGCATAAAGGTCATTGTCAGAAAATACAAAGAAAATTGTGCGTGGATAACGAAAATCATCCAGCCAGGTACACATGAAGAAGACAGCATATCATGAACAAGTACTCCAATGTATAGCAAAACCAGATAGTCAGCCAAGTAAACTAGATACAATCGAGGTATAAACCCTTAATACAAGACAAGAATGTTTCTTTCTTCTCACTTGAAGACCCTTATCTAAAACAAAACTAGCTGAACTTCTCTAATCTTGTTATTTCCGAAAAGTACATGGTCTTACTCCTTTATTCTCCATTTCATATGTGAAGGGAAAATTTTAAGTTGGATGAATAAAGGAAGCGAGAGCAAATATCTCCAACGCCCTAAAACAAACTGTCCGAACAAAGATTCTTCACATTCTTGTACAAAACATCCTTATCCCATTGACCCTTATCTAAAACAAAACTAGCTGAACTTCTCTAATCTTATTATTTCCGAAAAGTACATGGTCTTACTCCTTTATTCTCCATTTCATATGTGAAAGGAAAATTTTAAGTTGGATGAATAAAGGAAGCGAGAGCAAATATCTCCAACGCCCTAAAACAAACTGTCCGAACAAAGATTCTTCACATTCTTGTACAAAACATCCTTATCCCATTGCCATTCACCAAACAAACACTAGTTTCCCTTCCTACCGCCACAATGTCTGTATTCAAAACTTTGTAATTCAGTTTTCTACCAACCACGCCGGTAGGCGGTAGCTACCCTAAACCCTAATGCATTCTTCAACTATCTTATTTCAAAACCTCTTCAAATACATTATCTAGGAAACAGTCTGAATGACATGTAACTATGTAAGAAATACTAAATCAAACATTCAGTAGGATCAATACCTGACATATAGCTAGAACTAATTGCAACTTGCTGACATTTATGATTTATCTCCAATCACCTTGGAACTTTGCTCAATGTAAATCAATGTGTTTTGCAATTCAAAACACAACATAAAGGTAACCAAAACATATATTCTATAGCAGCATATAACAAAAACCCAAAGCAAAGAAATAAGTTCAATCTTTCATACATAAAAGAAATTACCTATCAACTGCCTCATTGAGATTCCCATTGATAACCAAAGCTTTCTTCGGCTTCTTGCTCTGTAACAACAAAAAATCAATTCAATAACACAAACCAAATCATACCCAAGAACAAAATAAATTCCCTAAAACAAAGAAAAATGCCACAAACTCACATCCAATGTTGGAACAGAACGAATTCGAACCGAATCGATTTCCCCAAATTGACTAAACTCCTTCAACAAAGCTTTCTTCTTAGTCTTCAATGGCAAATTCCCAACAAAAACAGTCCTCAAAAGCTTACTTTCATCATCATACCCCTCTTGAGAAACCATCATTTCTGCAGGATTATCCAACGCTTTCCTCTTCTTCCCACCACCCACTTTCTCTTTCTTCTCATCTTCTTCATCTGGTGCAACCCCATATTTCTTCACCTCATATTCTCTCTCCAATTCATCTCTCTTCCTTTTATTCTTCTTCTTCTCCTTCTCCTCTATACTTCCCAAATTAGGGTTTTTCTCTAGTTTATCTTTCTTCTTCGATTTCTTAACCTCATCAGAAGATTTTTCGTCCTTGCTTTTCTTCTTTGTCTTGGATTCGGATTTCGCAACCTCGGCATTTATAGGGGTTTCTGGGATTTGGGGTGTTGGAATTGAATCTGTTGGCTTTCTTCGAAATGGATTTTCGGAAGAAAACAAGGAATTAGAGACTTCGGTATCAGGAATTTCGCCGAATAATTTGTCTAAAATGTTTTCAGAAGTTGCGGGATTTTCTTTAGATTTTGGAGTTGAAGTTTTATTGGGTTGTTCCTTAGATTTCTTCGCCATTGTTATCAATTGTTAAGCTTGCGTTTCAGGAGAGAGAAATACGCAGGAAGATGAAGGAGACGGAAGAGGAAAGAAAGGGGTGCAAGGTTGAAGACGGCTGTAAATCAGCCCGTTTTCTATGTTTGGGGTGGGCTAAATGACTTGAATCAATCGAAATAAATCATTAGTGTCAATTTTAGGCCCTTTACAATCGAAAACCACGTAGCATAAATGGCATAGATTAGTTGACGTCATTTTATCATATATCTTACTCGTAATTTCGTAAATATAACTCGTATAGTCACTTGATATGGAGTATCCACATACCATACTATTAGTTAATGTCCTTGTCGGTGTATTAGATGCTTAAACGAGATAATTGACAATGTGTGATCTGAGTCACTGATTATATAAACATGTAGAGTTATCAAGAAGCATTATTTGTGATGGTGTGGTTAAGATATGATTATTGTTAGGTTTTAATGGTGCATTTATGGTTTATTAGTGGAGCTTTACATTGATTATAGATAATGGCTCAATGAGGTTAATTATAATGTTGAACGATCAATTGAGAATTCAAGGGGTGTCACAAGGCAAAAAAATAGGTTGAAATCGAATGCATCACTAGGCACTCGTGAGAATTAGTGAATTACCTCTAGGCCTCTAGCATACACCATCTACTTATCTAGCCCTAGCCAACGGGATAAGCATTACTTCATTACTAGTATTGGTAATATGGTTAACTAAAATATGAGTAATTTTAAATGTACTTTATATCATGCATTTATGACTTATTTATAAAGTTATATCGAATATTAAAAATATTTATATAATAAGACTAAAAATACTAGCCGAAAAGATACCAGTATCTCTACTAATAATGTTGGAGCATCAATTTAGTGTTCAATGTTTTTTTTTTTTTTTTTTTTTTTTTTTTTTTTTTTGTGTGTATGTTCAATGTATCACATGAAATAATAGCTGAAAACAATATCACTAGTAACACATTGCATATACTTCAATCTAGGTATCTAGCCTTAGGGCCTGTTCTCATTGACTGAACTGAACTGAACTGAACTGAAATGAAATGAAATGAAATGAATATTTTATAAGAGAAAGAAATTAGGAGCTGAAATGAATTGAACTGAACTGAACTGAATTTCAACGTACGAGAACAGACCCTTAGGGCCTGTTCTGATTGGCTGAACTCAGCTGAACTGAACTAATTAATTAGTGATTTTTAACTACGGATTAGTGATCTTTGATTATTTATTACTATACATATGTGTATATACAAATGTACATATTATTATTATTATTATTATTATTAATTATTGGTTATTATTATTATTATTATTATTATTATTTATTGATTATTATTATTATTATTATTATTGTTATTATTATTATTATTATTTATTGATGATTATTATTATTATTATTTATTGATTATTATTATTAGTATTATTATTTCAATTATTATTGTTATTATTATTATTATTATTATTTATTATTATTATTATTTATTACTTATTGATTATTATTATTATTATTATTATTATTGTTATTATTATTGTAATAAGAGCTTAAAAGAATGAAATTTGGCTTTATATCATTAGCAATATCATTAGACGTAAATTAAGAGCTAAACTGAATTGAACTGAACTGAGCTGAGCTGAACTGAGCTGAGCTGAAGTGAACTGAACTGAATTGAATTTCAACGAAAAAGAACATGCCCTTAATCAACTACTCCGTACCAATTAACTTCCACTGTATCTTTACAATAATACGAGTAGGAGTTTATGGGCTACATGATTGGTGAATCTTATTAAGCACTTGGGCCACCTTAAACATCTACTCATTGTCAATCTAAATGGCCCAATAAGTATAAAGATTAGCATTTATGTCATGATTAGTCAACATTTTGTAATATCATGCACTAGGACATTAGGTATCATATATATTCATATACTACAGTATTATCATGTCATTAGGAAATTCTCATTACCTGTCTAGGTCCTTAAACAGGCTGAAATTGGGAATTACACGCTCAAATTGAAATGTGTTAATTAATTGCTAATCTTCCAATTGGTCAAGTCTAAAAAAAGTCTTTCTTTTTTTTTTTTGTTTTTTTTTATAATTAGCAGACATCATCCAACACTTAATTGATAAGATTAGATCATTATCCAAAGATTGTGATGGATTAAAGTATTCTTTAATTAGATTATGATAATTTGATGAAGCAGCCAAAAAGGGCAATTTTGATCACATCCTTAATACTAATAATTGACAATAATTAACATGCACAAAAATATCAACAATTACTAATTAAGTTAGTGTAAAGATCATTAAGTATTATTTCTGTCATATATTAAGACAAGTTGTAGGAAGTTAGAAAAAAAAGTACGGAGTAAAAAAAACAGTGATTGGGCCTATCAACAAATCTTTACAAGCTTAATTAAATCACGCGCAAAGTTACAAGTGACGTTCAACAAAATTGAAAATAAAGAAAAAATAAATCTCACTCTTATTCAACTTTTTTGGTTGTAGTTTTCTGTATTTTTACAAATTCTCTTCTCTTATTAGCTTGCTCTCTATATTAGCAACATGATCACATGATTTCCCATATTATATGGATAGAGATGGATTTTTATTTTCTTTTCATTTGATTAATTTTAGTATGTATATTGATTACCTACTTTATACCTTTTAATATTTTTGACATCTAGTTTTTTCCCTTTTCCAAAAAGTTGTTCTTTAATCATATTGAATTACTATTTACTAATAACAAATACATTCAAAAAAAAAAAAAAGGCGGTATGACAAAATTTTCGTACTCATATTAATTCCTAGATTTATTCATTGTTCAAAGTATTTATATATATTTATCGCCACATTCCCTATATATTTAGTATTTTGATCTTCTTGATCAAAATCTTTAGATGAAACAAAATTTACTACAGTATTGACAACAATGGCAAAAATATTTATTTTAGAGATCGATGTAATATATATATACTCAAACATATAAATAAAAATTACTGGTATACATATAGTGATTGTAAGTCTTGCATCTCTCTTTTTACATGCATCATCCTATTTATTTCCTACTAATAGTAATACATAGTTTTAGAAGTTAGTAATAAAACTAGAAAATTAACACTCAAAACATTACAAAATGATTTTTTTTTTTTTTAATGCCCTAAAAAGGTTAAAACTCAAAATCAAAAGTTAAAATCGATGCCAATTTTTGAGACTTATTAATTAGTGAGCTCCAACCATAGCAGGAATATGCTTCATAATTTCTTGATCATCTTCTTCATCATCCTCTGCTTCCCATAAAAAGTGTGCATATGATCCCAATACCATGCTATCAAAAACATGAACAAATTAAAAAATAAGAATCAAATAAATAATATACCAACTTTTAAACAATAAACATAAACACAAATAAATAATTTAACTAATTACCTAACATCAGGTGAGTTAAGAAGAGCTTGATCATAGTAAAGTTGAGCACGATCTTCATCTTTTGAAGTTTCCCAAATTAAATTCCCATATAATGATAATAATTCTCCATCTCCTGGACTTGCTAATATTGCTCTTCCATAACATTCCTCTGCTTTCTCCACATTTTTCTCCACCTATATATTACATAAACATATTCAATTGGATAATTCTTACATAATCGTAAAAAAAAATTCCTTGTTCAAATTTAGTTGTCACAATATTCTGTAAAAAAAAAAAAAACACCACGATCACGTAATTATTAATTCTGAATAAAGGAAGTATATCGATAGGATTGAAATCTGAAAGGTTACCTCATGCAAGTATTTCCCGTAGTTTCTCAAAAGCAAAGAATCACCAGGATTTGACTTCAACATTTGTTGGTAATACTCTCCAACACTACTACCCTTTTCATTACCATTATTATTATTGTTGTTGTTACTCCCACCTTTTCCTTTACCTCCATAATTATTTCCTTTACCATTTCCGGTTCCGGTTCCGATTCCAATTCCGAATCCACCCGCTAACTCCTCTTCAGCAATAATGGGAAAAGACACCGATCCAAGTCGGTTTAAACGGGAACTCATGATCATCAACTCCGACCGATTCAACTCAGTATCGGAGTTAGACCGTCTAATCTTGTTAAACCCACTATTTTCAGACCGGAATGAGATCTTTGGAGAACAACATGCACTACCGTTCAACGAAGGGTTCCGGTTCAGGGTTTGAACCGGGATTGAACCGGTTCTTAGAAGTGCAGATTTCATTGCTTGTGTTTTTTAGAAGTGAAGAAGATCTGAGTAGGAAAGGTGACTTTGAGGTGGATATATATATGAGAAAGGGTAAATGGGAGGGTGACACGTGTAAGGAGTCACGTGATTTGCTGAACGTAAGGCACACGCGTGGGAGGTGGTCGAGGAGAGAGAGTGGAAATGGTTGAAAAAAGTGTATACGTGTCATGTGGAAAATGTTAATTGGAAGAGTCTTAGGATGCCACTTGGAGTGTAACGACAAAAAGGCTATGCAATGTACGGATAGATGGATAGATTGAGAGCATAAGGAATTTAGGGCCTAAGAAAATAGGTCCTTAAAAAGCTTTGGATCTTGGGTAAAGTTTAAATGAAGAGAGTATCTGTTCTCATTGATTGAAATGAACTGAACTTATTAGAAGTGAACTGAACTTATTAGAGCTAAACTGAACTGAATTTATTAGAGCTGAACTGAACTGAACTTATTAGAGTTGAGTTGGGCTAAACTGAACATATTAGAGCTGAACTGAACTAAACTAAAAATAATCGTATGAAAGCAGGCCCTAAGTGCTTGTTTGGTTGGAAGGTATTTTTCTCAAAAAATGGAAATTCCTAGGCAATAGCTAAATTATGTTGTGTTTGGTTAGAAATTTTCTAAGAAATGTAAATTCCCTCATGGCATGGGAAATAACTCACCAACGCCCCTCTAGACCAATGAATTACTACAATGCATAGGAAGTTATTTCATAGGATGTACATACTAATTTCCATGATGTCAACCAAACACCTTTTTTTTTTTTTTTTTTTTAATCTAATTAGTAAGGGAAAAAACTTCCCATTATATATGATTTCCCATGTTGAACCAAATAGACACTAAAGCTTAATGAACATAAACATTCAACTTCTTTGCTAGACTCCCTCGGTTGCAACTAAATTGGCGCACTAACTATTAGGTGCGGAATATAAATGACAAGTTGTTAAAGCAATTAATACATAGGTTTAATATCAAAAATAATTTAAAGTACAGAGTAGTAGTATAAATAACAAAAATAAATAAAAATAAAGTAGATTTTCGTATTTTTGCAAAAATAGAAGAAGCTATTTATCATACGCCGATACGGAAAAATGAAGTAGATTTTTGATGGACTACATTAAAATGTACGAGTATATGCATTGTCGGATTGTCATAAGATAATGTTTGGGAATCAAGTCCAAATATTTCATCTAAAAAGTTATTGTCACATGAACGGGTTAATTAGGATTAGATAGACAACCTAATACGATCGACCAAAGGCCATCAAGCAACATTGCATTAGGTTCAACTAATCAAAACTCTGCGAAGTTTATGTTGAGTGTTGACAAATGACAATGTAGTTGATTGATTAAATTTAGAAGCTGTCCAAAAACCTTACACTAGAAGAAAGCTAATCAAGCATAATTGCATACATGCTAGTCCAAACTATGTGCACTTTTATGGTTTCTATTTAGAATTCGCCACAAATAAAGATGAACCGCACAAATGGTAGGATCACTGTTATATTATATCCAAACTGTGTGCCCTATTATGGTTTCTTATTAAGGTCCCCACTTCAATCATATTTGTGCCATTACTATTGCCATTTTTAGAATTGGATTTTACCATATTCCCCAAATTGTGGGTTCTACTTGAGAGTGTTGACAACAATGGAAGTCTCATCAAGTTTTAATTTTACGTTGAAATAAGAATTTGAAGGTTGCTTTCTTTGGCAAATGGTTTTCTTTCTAGTGGATTCTTGGCGTCCTTACTTCATTGAAATGGTACCAAAACTATGGTCCGATCCATTCCCCTTGTGAACGTATTTACGAAACAACACTCTCTTGCCAAGTACTACATCGATCATAATCAGGTTAAGTTCGACAAGTCCATTCGAGTGGATGTATTCTTGGTGTCGATTTCGAATTGTATTATTGACCTATAATCAAATTTATAAAGCTTTGTGACATACGCAATTACAAAGTATGATAAATAAGTTAGTCTATCAAATTGGTAAATTCACATTTGTGACGATCATATCAGGTTGAGATAATTTTCATTAACTTCGTGTTGGATATTGATTGTTTTTCTATGCCTCCCATATGTAGTTTGATCGGGTATAGTAACTACTGATATTGAAATTAAAAGCATTATAATACCCTATTATTTTTTTCCTGTTTTGGTCCATAACAAGAGTGATTTGGTAGTGTAAGTAAAAACATTAACTTAAACGACTTCATAATTACACATAATCAAATCAAACTAAAATAGTACTGTAGTTGAAAAAAATGATGAAGAAGCATTAATCTAGGCTATCTAGCTAGAAAGTACAGGTACATCGAACCCAAGACCACTTTTTGTAGTGTGCATGTGAAGACTTGGATCATGCGGTTTTTACTGAACCATAATCACATGACAAATTTCCGATCGCAAGACCGTAGACAAAATACTAAAGTACAACCTACTTTCCATAATCCCATAATTCAACCAAACAAGTTGAAAAGTTTCTTCAATCCCCAAAACAAGGTATAACAAAGAATAAACACGATTTATATAAAGTTGTAAAATCAACAAAAAAAAAGATATTACCATGCTTTTACGAGTCACCCACACGAAGAGATCAAGTATCAAAGTTACCCGATCCATGTTTATGTTGTACACGAAAATATACGATAATGATTTGACTTGAACCGAAATTGATCTAGCCACAATTTTGAAACTTGTTTATAAAAAAAAGAAGAGTAGACAATCTTCAATAAACTACTTGAAAGTAGAGAAACATCATCAAATCAACTAAAATTGGCAGATGATTAGCCACTTCTCTCAAGAAACTTTTTTTTTTAAAAAAAAAGTTATTTTCAACTCAATCTTCAAACACATGTGCAGTTTATCAGCTTTTCTCCGTGAGGATTGAAAAAACCTTCTCAGCAAAGTAAAGGTATAAACTTTGATATAGCTTCTTAATGTATACAAGAAACTGAAGGTTCTATTGTGCTTTGACTCTAGCTACATTTAGGGCCTGTTCTCTTTCTTTGAAATTCAGCTCAGCTCAGCTCTTAATTTACGTCTAATGATATTGCTATATGATATAAAGCCAAATTTCATTCTTTTAAACTCTTATTACAACAACAACGACAACAATAACAATAACAATAATCATCAATAAGTAATAAATAATAATAGTAATAATAATAATAATAATAATAATAACAATAATAATTGAAATAATAATACTAATAATAATAATCAATAAATAATAATAATAATAATCAATAAATAATAATAATCATCAATAAATAATAATAATAATAATAATAATGACAATAATAATAACAATAATAATAATAATAATAATAATAATCAATAAATAATAATAATAATAATCATCAATAATTAATAATAATAATAATACTAATACTAATACTAATAATATTATTATTAATAATAATAATATGTACATCTGTATATACACATATGTATAGTAATAAATAATCAATAAATAATCAAAGATCACTAATCCGTAGTTAAAATTCACTAATTAATCAGCTCAGCTCAGCTCAGCCGGAACATGCCCTTAGCTTATACTCGGTAATGTGTACAATAAAATAAGCCTTATTTATTGGGGAAAAAAGTGTATACAACAACATTGGAAATCAAGAACACCAATCTCTTTTAAGTGAGGATCACAAGAGAAAGAGAAGGAGGCGTGCCTGAGGAGAATCTCAACCTAAGATCCTATTGATTTTTCTTGAACTTCAAGTTAGAAGGTGGACGAGGTTTCGATGATTTTTCACTGTAATCAGTAGTTCTAATGATGAATAAAAGTGTTTCCACAAGCATGCCAAGAACCAAACCTAGGATGCCTCCTGCAGTACTCTGAAAATAAAAATTCACCCGCCATCAGCAATTTCACTTCAATTATAAGCATAAATTATGTGAAATTTCCATTAACTTACCATGATAGGGTTACGGTCAAATAATGCCCTGAAGGCAATGTATCCAACAAGGTAACCAGTGAACATAATGACCACGACATGTAAACCTGCAAAATATTGCCTGATCTTTAGCTAAACCAAATATAAACCACACACAAGAAAGCAGGTAGCAGAAACAAGCTTAATGGTATAAAAAGCCTGATTCAGAACAAGCAATACAAGAAGCATGCTTTATGTTGTTTGAAACTTCGAGTTGAATTCTAGATATATTAATGTGGAGACAAAGATTCCTTTCATTTTGGCTAAATCACATTTTCATTCAAGCTGTAATCCTAGCTTACCCAAACATTATATACGTCCACTCTCTTTTGCAGTATGAAATATTATAGGAAACAAAAAAAAAAAGAAAAAGGAAGAAAAAAAAAGAGGAGGAACTTCTATAAAGGCACTGATGTACGGAGAAGAGGAGTTAATTTGTACCCAAGTTAAACGTATAAGCAACTGGGGTAGATTGAAGTAATGATCAAAGTGACGAGCCAAACAATTTCAGAGAAATAAAAGATTAAATGAGCCGAAACTCTTCCTCTTCCAGCTTGCAGAACAGCTGAAGGTAGTGATATTCTTAATATGCAAATGTAAGAATAAAGATCATTCTAAGAATCGAAGTAGCAATTGTTTGGGAAACAAATGATTCTTGAAATTTTAACATTGTTTGGATTCTTTGAAAATGAATCTCCAAATTACAGATTTTGAACCCTCCCAAAAAATAAAGTTTAATGGCAAGAAGTAATGCAAATACCTTTGAAGTTGAATTTCTCACTCAATCAGATAGGAAAACATCAGAGTTCAAGACCAAAGGAGGATCTTGCCTTTAGTGGATTCTGCTAGGTCATAATCAAGACTAATCTTTACTCCAGCACGAGCACAAGAGGCAAAATTGGATAACTGGTGACGGGTGTTTATAGGAAATTGCATACTGCCTATAACTTAGAAGGAACTCTTGGACAGTGAAAAGAAAAGTTGCAGAAAACAGAAAAACGACAATTCCTACAGTACATAAGATCAACTGATCAAGTATGTGCATCCAAATTGTGTCATCACTTGTAATTCTAAAAAGCCTTGGATGGATTTCTCATTGACCATAGTAGCAAGGATGATAATGACTACCAACTAAACGAGGGTGGACCAAAATGAGAAGCAGGCAATCAGGCACTCTGCAATATGAATAAGGAGGGAAAAAAAGAGTAATCTTGGTAGGTATTGGAACCAGAAGGAGATTTGAATGTAAGTACAGAAAATTTTATCAATCCAGATAACGCTCAAACTTTATCCCACAAATTGTGTAAAGCAACGGGGAGGGTGGTGGCCTACTGTCAAGTGCTGGATTTACCAAGCCAGCGACAGTGCATCTTCTCTTTGACATAAATATTTGTTAATATGCAGAACTTCTCAAGGAAGTTAACTAGATATCAGATAATTTGTAAATCTACCAAGTGTACTATCAAGGAACTTCTCCATTAACTTGAAACCAAAATAAGTCTAATCTAGCTTTTAGTACATCATATGATCACATGTTCACAACAAAGCAGGGTTTGGCACTTTGGCTGTTGGCCAGAGGTGTCGACTTCACTTTAAAGAGCCTAACACCTTTGAAACAAATTGAAGGGGAGATCTAACCACACGACTTCACAAGAATTGCCAGAAACAATTTCTTATAAGAAAACATAATGAACCGACATGGAATTAAAAGCACAATGTAAGTTCGAGACAAATATCTAGTTATCATCAATTACAATAATATATATATTTTGCATCATGTTAAGCAAGTAAAAGTCCAAAGCCACCTACCAAATCCAAGTTGGTCCTTGTAAGTTGAAAAGGGCTCATTTGGCTCCTTTGGAGTAATATCTTTCACAAGCTCTGCATATGCTTTCCTCTCAGCTAACTCCTCTAGCTTCTTCAACCTTGCTTTCAGCTCTTCGCTCTAAACATAACCAAAATCCCCAAGCATTAGACACATATCTAACCAGTAAGCTACTCGAATCAAATAGACTTGGCTACACCAAGCTCTAGCCTCTGGTTATTCCCGAAAACATCAAAGCATTTGTAGGGAAAATGAGGTGAAACTCAAGTAAAAGCATTCAAGCATCGCAGCAGAAAAACTAAAACTTGTTACAAGTACTTCAATTCCTTCATCAATCATCCAATGATCATCAAAAATTCATAATACACACCCTGAACCAATCACCTAAATAGAGGCCTCTAATTACTGTAAATTAATTTATATACCTTTATCAACATCATACTCAATAACCCTAACCAAAGCACCAAAACACGAATACATTAAGATACATATACCCCCCCCTATCAATAGTGAGCCAGCAATGTAGGAAGAGATGGGAATTCAACAATTATCAAAATTCATAGAAGCATGATTAAATATTCTGCTTTTTTTTTCTCTTCTGAATATCAATGTACACACTACAAAATTAGAACTTGTTACACATTTACTTTAATAACATCAATCATAATTATAGCTCAAAAACATGGAAAATACACTCAACAAACACCCAATCTAACCACATTATGAGTTTGAATAGCTCTAAATAATCATATAAAATATGCCCACAAAATGCAATTTCACTGTAAAAAATTTGAAACACCCAATCTAAGTATTAGTCAATCATCATCAAAACACAAGTGCCCAGAAGATAAAAGATTGAATTGATTGCAAAATCAAAACCCATAAATAATTTAACCCAAAGAATGCAATTAAGGGGAAAAGTAGAGCTGATACCTTTTCTCGAGGTTTAGGGCTATTGAAGAGGAAAGAAGAACCGCGAAGGAGGAGAGAGAGAGAGGGTCTGGTAGTGGGGTCAGATGCAACCCAGATGGATCTCAGAGATTGATAAGGAAGAGAAGATTGAGAGGAGAGAGAAAGAGCAGATTGCCGGAGATTTTCAGGGAGATTTGATGAAGATGATGATGAAGAAGTGAGGAAAGATTGTATAGTTTCTGTGTTTGATAAAATTAAACCAGTTGTTGAAGAAGAATCAGTTGTTGTTATAGTTGAATTTGAGGAAGAAGATGAAGATGTTTGAGGTTCTGATTCAGAAATTGCAGTCATCTTTTTTCAAATTGATTTCTTCTTCGATCGATCTTGTTCTTCTTCTTCTTCAGTTGAATGTTAGTACTAGTTTGATGGATAATGGATATGGTATTTGAGTTTTGGATATAGCCCATAAGAAGATATGGCCCATTTTGCAAGTAATCTTGTTGTCATTACTTGCTTCTTTAACATTTTTTTTTTCATGTCTGTATTTTATTACTTGCTTCTTTAACATTATTTGCACTATTTATTTCTTTTAAAAAAAAAATAAAAAAATTGCACTATTTATTTGACCTACTCAAACTAATACTGTGTATTTGTGATTTATACATAAGAAAAAATATAGATTTGTGGGTGCTTGTTAATTTTCATTTCAAGAAACAGATTATTAATTTTCATTTCAATTGTTATAAATTATAAGAGATTGTTACATACACCCGGGTGTACGATACACCCAAGGGTATTTGTTTGTTCATTTAACAATAAAATGAGCAATAATCATCAAAATGAACAAAAAAAACCCTTGGGTGCATCGTGCACCCGAGTGTATAAAACAATTTCTACTGTACTTATGGATAATATTATTGGTCAAAGATTTGCATCACCATATGTGCTCGTGAGAAATGAAGCAAGTATGAAAATGCGGAGGAAGTATTAAACAAACAAATGACTTGACCATAACTTAAGCTACGATTGAAGTTCATGATCGCTTAATATTTTACTTGAAAGAAGAGTGTGTATGATTTGATCCAGTGATCTTTTTATTACGTTGACCCATGTAATCGTTGAATTTTAAGGCCTTTTTTATTATTATTTTTTATTTTTATTTTTAGAGTAAAACGATTTTTATTCTTTGTTAATACAAATTTACTGAATTTAAGAAGAAGGAAATAAGTGAATATAAGATTGAAGATAAAATTTCTTTCGATATAGACAACAAAATAAATTATAAACCTAGTAAGAGGAGACCGAGCAAGGGAAGGGTGGTTGGTAAGGTTATTTATTTCTTTATTTGTTTATTAGATAAGTCAATTACTTCATGATATCATTTGAGTGATCTAATATTCTAACACTAAACTAATGCATTAACAATAATGTTAATGTTTCATTAAAAGAAAAAGGTATTGGTTAAAAAAAAAAGGCCCAAAATGTGAACTATTTACATTTTTTTTAATCTCTTTTTCGACTTCGTTATCAATTGACTTGTTTATTCACAATAATTCACCAAGAAACTACATATTAAACACACAAATGACAACTAAATCAAAGGGACAGATGAAGGAAAGACAAATTGTATTCATATTGTTTAGATTTATTGATTTTAAAAACAATAAGTGACTTAAACTAGATAAATTATTGAAATTTCGACATAGAAAAAACAAAATTAAATAAACTATAAACCTAGTAAGAGGCTGGAGACTAATACGCTAATAGTGTGTTTGGATTGAAGAAAATAGATGGAAGGGAAATGGTGGAAGGGAGTTTCTTTCATTTAGATAAAAATTTAGGGATGAAGCGAATTGGAGGAAAGAGAAATGGAGAGACTAAAACTCGTCCTTCTTCCTTTCCCTTCCCTCCCCTTTATGGCTTCACCTCCCTCCCCCTTTTTTTTTCCCTTAACATTACCCAAATAAACTGTAAATGTATGAAGATGGTTGGTAAGGTTCTATATTTATTCTGTAAGTCAATTACTTCATGATATCATTTGATTGATCTAACATGTTAACAATCTAAGCACTACACACTACAATGTTAAAAATTTCAGTCAAAATAAACTTGGAATTAAGTACAAGTATAATCTCAAAATATTATAATTTCGTCATTTGCAAACGTGTCCTATATTATTATTTATAATTCGAAGTACTCCATATATAAATATGATCCCGTGTAAACAAAATGTTGCATGACACAAACTAGTAAAATTTTAAACAACTACATACATAATACATAGCTGTCTACATTGATGTTGTTAGTGAAAATATGATTAAACCAAATTCATATTTTTGCAATAATACGAATAGTATTTACAATCGTGCCAAAATTGATAAATGGGTATGGGACTATTGGGGGAAGACCGAGTGATAATTCAGTAAAAGACGGCACTTAAAAATGTCAGAAACCTGCAAAACAATACAGATCGAGTCATATACTGTCATACTGATGCACTAGTCGTGGTAAAAAGACAATAGCAAAAGTCAATGTTGACCAATACCTTCAAATTCTCTAAATTCTTACATTTATGTAAGTACTTTAATTTAATAGTTGAATACACATCGGAGGCATAACGTTCAATATTAAACAGCTATGAATATTATTAGTGTAATTTGAAGGGTTGGTGGTGAGGTTGATATTTAAGCATAGTTTTGATGGACAAAACTAAATCATATTGATTACAACTTAATTAAGATTAAAACCGTCAAATTAAGGATCTGTTTTTTTAGAGCTAACCGTGGTCTGCTTTGCTGAGTATAAATAAATTGCTCTGCTGATACCTACTACCCTATGCTTTGCTCAAAAGCTCAAAAAAACATAGCCTAAAATAACTATCAATTTATAAACTTTATTTGTCTTTTTTGATTGAATTGATCACATTGTACACAAAAAAAAATTGGAAAATGATATACAAGCACTTTGGCACTTTGTATATTAACAATAAGGTCAATTGGTGGTTTGTACACCCGGGTGTACCATGTGCATGGTACACCCAAATTAAAGCGGAAAGAACATAGCAAATAATTATAAAGTAAACCATAAATTTATAAAAGAACATATCACTGAAATATAAAGAACACATTATATTATGAGATACTTATTATCAAAAAGGTAAAACATAATTATGAATTGAGTTTTACCAATAATTTAATGTCAAATCATTTCAAAATATTATATTTGAATTTGAAAATATTCAGATATAAAAAATTCAATCTAAAATTAGTTTTACACAAATATAATTCAAAATTTCTTTCTTAAATTTTAAAAATTCGAAATTCAAAATATAAGAACATATTATATAAGTAAAAAAAGAACATAATTTGTATTATTATAACCAAAGAACATGATTAATATATATTACCTTAAAGAACATTGTTTGTATTGTAAGGAACATATAGTTTAGACTCAAAGAACATATTGATCAGACTTAAAAAGCATATTTCATTGCAATTAAAAAAATGATAAAAGAACATTCATTAAAATAGGAAGAACATCATATTCAACCTTAGAAAATAACACCAAAACATAAATTTTTTTTTTAAAAAAGTGAAAATACCTTTTTTTTCTCAAAAACGAATGTGTCAATTACACCGATCTTTTAATTAAATGATTCATCAAAACGATAAAATCAACTCCAAAATAACATTAAATCACTTTGAAATTTAAATTTTACCATAGTTTCTCTCTCTATAAACCCAAGTTCTTTCTCTTAACAAAAAAAAAATAAAAATAATTTGTTTATCAAAAGTAATATGGAATGTAAATAATGAATCAAGGAATAAAAATAACAAATCAATCTTTTAAATCAAGAGAATCGTTTTTTTTTCTGCTCGTGTACTTTGTATTTGTATACAATGTTCTTTTCGCGTTTTTATAACTCATGTATTTTGACCGAATGTACCATGCTCATGGTACACCTAGGTGTATGATAAAATTTTCACAATAAGGTAATGGAAACAATTAATTAATTCCGGCTTTTTCTATGACAACATTATACCAAATGCTCTTAATCTTAAGAAAATGCGGTTTAGTAAGCTATCTTAACAAAAAACCAACCAAAAAATGACTTCATGAATGACGAGTATAATCTAAATCATACGAGTGATGACTACTCTTTTATTTTCTTTTCTTTTTTTTTTCTTTTTTTAATGTGATGACAAAATATATGATATGAAGATGTTATAGTACTTGAACAAAATAGAAGGAGATCTAAATACGAAGGGCAATAACATACGCCAGCTATTGTTCTGTTGTCCGTAAAATAAAAGCTAAGAGCCTAATTTAAGAATAGAAGGTTGTGTATCTTTAAATTGGTAGGCAATAATGGCCAGCTCACTGCAATAAATTGCATCATTTGTTATGCTCCTGTTATCCCTCCCACGGAACTAACCAACCCCCCTTTACCAAACTAAATACCATACCCTTGTTGTTGTAGACTCGTAGTTGTACACTTGTACGTAGGCCTTGTTACTTTGTGGCCACACGTATACCTTGTGGTTGTCATCGACCGGTCATTGGTTCTATATTTATTAGATCGGCAGTTGATATTGAATTGTCCGGAGTAGTAATAAAAGATGAACATGAATTCTCTTCGGATATTTTATAAAAGAAATGGTTTCGTGTTAACTTTAAGTTATGATTGGAGAAAATATTCTAATTCATTATATAGGCGTACTAATATTAGGGCATGTTCTATTCAGCTTTATTTCAATTCAATTCAGCTTCAATCAGTTCAGTTCCTTATTTTCTTCTTTCATAAACAATTGGTTTCAGTTCAGTTTAGTTCAGCACTAATCGGCTCAGTTTAGTAAATCAAGTAGGCCCTTATTCTTTTCTATGACCTATGGGACATTAGATATTCATGACAAAATAATTTCTTTTTTTTTCTTTGCGTAGGTAAAAGAGGACTAGGCTTAAAATCTATACAAATATTAAAGATGAAAGAAATTAAAAATCTTTAACCATGCATTAAGTACAAAGAGAGTTTGAGTACAAAATGATGCAAACAATTTATCATTTTAAAAAGAATTAGCCATTTGCGACATTCTACCTACCTCATATCCATCCATAATTATTTAGTTAGCTAAGTCTAAATCTTTTGATTATTTTGTCAAGAATTCTAATCAACTATTAATGCCCTCTTGGTCCCATACAACCCCGTTAGCTTACCCAAGCTGGCTAACTTGAAACCCAACTAGTTGTCAATCAAGCCCCACATCGTACCCCCTCAATAGCCACTAGCTTAGCAAGAAAGCACAACGACTCGGACAACTAAGTGAAGGCTGGTAGATATGATGTTAGTTCTACCTCGTAACATTAATACGGTTCATACTCCGTTATACTTCGTATCATATTAGTGTCATTTAAGACTATACATACCATATTATGAAGTTCTTAATTAGTTAGTGCATTATTGATATTAAAAATGACAAATATTATTGGTTGTCAGTTTGTTACACTGTTACTTCAAACATCATGTAACACCTTCGCTTGTAATGATGCATTGATAATATAGGTAGCAGTATGACAAATAACTAAAGATATTAATTAAAACTTATGAAGTACGGTTTATCAATTAAGTGCTCAAATAATATTCCGTTTATTTTTTATTTATTTTTTAAACGCCCTAAATTTACATTTACATTATTCACAAACACCACTTAATTTGCTAATTAATGTTTGTGCTTTATTTATATAAGAATAAATATTGTTGGTACCGTTTCAATGCATAACACATTATAACTGATTTGTATATAAGCGTAAATATTATTGGTACTTGTTAGAACCATGTCACTATATAATTGTCAAATATCAACTTTATAATGTATACACATATATTGTCAACTAAGATATAATCAGTTAAGATTTCATATTGACTAATGTGTCGATTAAACATAGACACTTGCATAAAATAAAGGGAGTACAAACTATTGAACACACTTAAGACACATCTCAAATTATTACAGCATACATACAACACATATCCGGCCTTCAATTCACAAAACGGTCCCTACACAAACATTGAAATAAACATAGAAGGCTTGTTTTAGTTTGGTTTCTTGCAAAGGTGGCTCCTTTGACAAACACACGTTTCTACCAAACTTCTACATCCCAAAATAAGCTTAACTCCTATAACAATATACTCCATTTTAATTAATAACTCCCCCCTTTCCCAACTTCCATCCACCTTATTTCTCTTCATCTAATCTTCTTCTCCTAATTAGTCATGTACGTTGACTAATTAAACACTAATAAAATTTTATAACATTTATTTCCTTCACATCATCTCCCTTTCTCCCTTCTAACAACCACCTCCTTCGCCACTACTTAATATTATTATCACAACCCACACTCTTTGAATGCCAGCTCTCCCTTTCTTCTCCTTCCATATTTTCATACTTTTTTATTTTTATATATATACACAAACATAGCCTATCTTTCATGTTGAACCAACTTCTATAATTCCACACTATTTTTTTATTATTTATATTTATACTCTAAAGTTTTGGTGCTATATATATACACAAACTCACACAAACATAAAAATATATACACACATAAACCCTCTCTTTTCCTAGCTATTTTTAACCAACATACAAAAAAGTGATTAACAATCCTTCCTTAATCCTTTTTTCTCTATCTAATTATCTGATTATTACTCAAGTATTATGGCACCCGCATCGTTTATTCCGATTTCGAACACGGTGTGTGTTATGGATGCTTCTGGTTCCCTTGGTTCTAGTCTTGTAAGGCGGCTTCTTCAACGTGGTTACATTGTTCATGCTGCTGTTCAACCCCATGGTATTTGTTAATAATTACATTGATTAGCTTGCTATAATGTATTATACTATACATTTATACTCCCTCTGTCTCTAGATGTTGTTCCTACTTCGACAGAGCTATACAACTTGATTAATTGAAGTAACAAAGATATTAATTAATTAACTTGTGTTAATTGTATGTTTTGGTCGGTCCATTATTGATTACATATTGTTAAATTTTATGTAGGTGAATTGAAAGGATTGAAGGGGTTGAGTAATGATCATGGAAATGAAAAGTTGAAGATTTATGATTGTGATCTTTTTGATTATCATAGTATTCTTGATGCTTTGAAGGGTTGCTCTGCTTTGTTCTACAATTTTGAACTTCCATATGATCAACCTGTCTATGATGTAAGTTGACTATTCCTCGTTTTCTATGTATTTTTTTATTTTCATTTCAAGATTTTTCTATACCCTATCTGTAATTAACAAGTTATATTTTTAATAGTATATGGTTTAGATACATAATACCTTGGTTTTTATAAAATAGCTAGAAAACATAAAGATTTAGATTACGGGTTAATTTTTAAGGGAATTTTGATATATAAATTATAATTATCCTTGATTTTTTAAAATTTATATCTCCACTCCCATCATGACGTCACTCATATCATGCAATAATATCCAAGGGCCGATAATCTTATGGATTGTGGGGTCAAATGTTTAGAAATTCCATACTTCGTATTATAGACTTCGAATTTTAGATTTTGAACGCAAATATTGACGTATTGACTTTTTAAAATCAATCAAACATGTATTGACCCTACCATGCACATATATAAGTAATTTTTTTAATTTTTTTTAAATTTTTTTTTAAAGTAATCTCTAAATTAGCTACTAGTGTCCATAGTTCCTTTACTTTCATACAATTATTGTATTTCTTTGTAGTTAGTCAAGGTAATAGTTCAAATTTTAACTTACTAGAAATTTAAAGGCTAAGTGGCCAATTGTTTTGAAGTGTTCAAAAATCGAAAAAGTAACTTTAGTCCTATCTAAGAATAGAGGGAGATACAAAATTCATCCCGATACATTAAATATCTCCTAAAATATGGATGGAAAGCTTGGAAGAGAGTTGCAACTTGCAAGTAACTCGATTTGGATGGTAGCCTAAATAAATGAGCAAAAGAGAAATGAAAGTATACCTTAATCACATGTATTATACATTTATAGTCATATAGCGACTATAGTCTAATACGAAGAAATTAATAGTCCAAGGAGCAAAATCTGAAACCTTTTATGAAAAAGGCAATTACAGCTACAAAGCCGATGAATTAGGTAAGAGGGAACAATAAATTTGATACAACCATATTAATATATTATATGCCTTTCAATTCCACATCATTGCATGTGTATTCAATTATTAATACGGGGTACATCATATATTCATATGTTACTCCGTATATGATATGAATATATGATCATCCAATCAAATGATTCAATGTCTAGTTTTTAGTTCTTAGTTTTTATTTTTCATTTGGGTACAACTATCTTACCTAGCTTTTGCATGTGATTAAACACTGCACCAAACTTACTTGTTTAGAGTGTATGCTTTTGCAACCTTTAATTTATTTCATTGATGAAAGCTACTGGATTCATTGAATAATTTACCATGAAAGAGATGGTTATCAAGAATACAATTCTATTTATATCGGTTCCAAGTTTTTGCCCCTTTTTTTAAAATTTTTTTTGATCCATGTATGCAAGTAGACAATTACATATGACTCCCATGTAGATAATAACAAAAGTATATTGGTCAATTCTTAATTACTTTATATTTTACGTACAATACTTTGTACTATTTTATAGTCATTGAATCAAATTGGTATACATTTATTGTGCATATTATTGGTAGCAACCCTTAGGCCTTAGGGTCACCCAAACATTTTCCATGTTGGACAATGGTAACAAATAATTATACGGAGTACAATCAATGTTTTTGATGAAAAGACCAAATTAATTTCATGCTCTTCAAAATCCATTGTCTACATGCAATTCAAGCAAACATATCATTTAATAAGAGAGTGTAAATTTCAGTGCTCAACTTTTAGTTAAGGTGATTGTCGTTTTGAGGGTGCCCAAGTGCAGTTAATATACGAAATATGACATTTAATGCGGAAATACATGCATGGTTTTGCAACAAATTGTGGAATTTTAGGAAATAACAGTATTTTTTAATTTTTTATGTCAGCCATAATTGTGGATCAAAATTCAGCCATTTGTTCATGTTATTAATTTCAACATGAATGGTCCTCTTCGGTGGGCTTTTTCTGTATGGGAAGAAAATGTCTAATTCTATAATACTGGTCAACGCTTCAGAAATCCTAGTACTACTACTAATTCAAAGTCACTCAATTGCTGTTTATTAAAGCTTAAGTTTAAGTTTTGATCATTAAAATATTCTCCTTGTAACAAAATTCAATTGTGACGTATCTGAAAACACTAAATTTATAATACTATTATGATTCAGGAGTACACAGTGGACACAGAGGTGAGAGCTGCACAAAACGTATTAGAAGCGTGCGCACAGTTAGACACTATTGACAAAGTCGTTTTCACATCATCGGCTGCCACCATTCTTTGGAGAGAAGATCGTCAATCAATGCTATCAGACCTTGACGAGAGACATTGGAGCGATGTAAGCTTTTGTCGTAAATTTAAGGTAAGAATATGTTACACTCATCTAGATTTTAAGAATATTCAAGGTTAAATAGCAATATAATGGAGTACTAAAGTCTATTGAATTTTTGTTGTTCTTTTTAGTTGTGGCATGCGTTATCAAAGACTTTAGCGGAGAAGAGTGCATGGGCGTTGGCAATGGACCGTGGAATTAGCATGGTAACAATCAACGCTGGTTTGTTAGTGGGGCCCGATCTTACCATTAGACACCCTTACTTAAAAGGAGCGGCTGAGATGTACCAAGATGGAGTACTTGTGACCGTTGATTTGAGCTTCTTGGTGGATGCTCATGTTCATGTCTTTGAAGATATTTCAACTTATGGACGCTACTTATGTTTTAATCATGTCATTAATCGCCCCGACAACGCAATTAAGCTTGCTAAGATCTTGTTGCCCTCAACACCCGTACATGCCCAAAGGTATAAAATCTATCTAAAATAGCATTATTAAACTTTTTTGTCACGTTAATACAGAGTATCATTATATAAAAAGACTAATGCATGCCAAAATTTAAGAGACTTAGAATCGAGATAACAATAATAACAAAAGAAAAGTCAATACCACCGATTTCATTGTATGTATAAGTAGATTAATAATGCATGCCAATATTCATGATTTGGACATGCAACATTACAATTAAGAATGATGTTAATTTTAACTATATAAATGAGCTTGACTAGAAAGTAGAAACATAATGATTTGAAAAAAAATAATTGAGGAATTCTTAACACATGAATGAATTGAAGTACATACCATACATTGAACTCCCATTATATCTAGGTATGTAGACTTTTTCCATTACTTTTATGGTTGAGTAAGAGCACAATCACATCTAATATCAGTTAATCGTCTATATAAAATAATTGGTATTTCAATCGTATTTATTATCATCGTGACTCTTATAATAAGTTATTATGTTATATATTTTTTGATATCTCATATATCTAACACATTACTATTTTTGAAAAGGTGATTATTTTATTCTTTAACATTAATATTGGCAAATAGTAGTAGTTTAATTATCTAACCTAAATTTCTCATGTTGATGTGTGTATAGTTTCCAAGACGACGTTAAAATGATTCAACAGAAGATTAGCAATGAGAAGTTGAAGAAATCGATCGTGGAATTCGAATCTCATCCTATCGATTAAGATCAGAAACAAATTATAGTTTCAAATTAATTAATCAAATTTCCTAATATAGAAGGTCTTTTTGGCAAGTTAGATTAGTTATCTTCAAGATTAATCAAAGCGTAAGCTACTCCATTTTTTCACACAACTAGGGAGTACAAATAAGTGGTCCTATGTTGTAAATAAAAATAAAATCTATACATATATATAGGTAAACCAAAGCAACATCACGATGATGCGTACATCACTTAATAATTATAGGTCTTCTTAGTGCTTGTAGAATTTAAGTTTTAGCACATAATTTTAATATGATATAACACCAATTACATTATATTAGATCCATATGGTAGTATTATACATGTATTATATATATTGGTGTACGTTTATGTAAGCTTAATCGTTATGAAACATTATATTATCAATTTATCATCAAACGTTTATCCTTTGTTCAAGAGTACATTATGAAATCTAAATACAAATTACTTTGTTATTATGCTCAATTAACAACAATTTCTTCCGTCTAATAAGTCAAGTCAAAATGGAGAATTAAATGTTATGGCATCATTTTTGGTTTTTAGTTTCCTGTTTTTTTGAAAACTAAAAACCAAAAACAGGAAACAAGAAAAGGTGTTTCCACTTTTTTGTTGTCAGTTTTCAAAATTATTATGATTTTAATAAGTTTAAATAATTTTTTATTCATTATGTGACATATATCATATATTTTTATACAACAAAAAACCAAAAATAGAAAACCACAACAATGCAAAACGAACCCTTAGTTAAATATATAACTCATCTGATTCAAAATAAATATACTACGTATAAATCATTTGACTTTTATGGTTTTCACTCTTCTAACTTAGTGCACTAGTTCGACCTTCAATATCATTGATTGTGTGCATTTGTCTAAATTTTTAAAGGACAACATATTAAAATTGATCATATTAAAACAATTCAAACAAAATCATAAGACATTAGCTTGATTGACTATGTATTTTTAATATACAACTAAGAATTTATGATCAAATAAAAGCTTTAACCTCTAAAGAGAAATTATACACCCCCTTAAATGTTATGTGTAACTTTGGGGTATTATTGATGAGATATAAAATATTCTAAAGTTGCACATAACATTTAAAGGAGGTAAGGAACTTTTCCATATTAGAGGAATTATGTACCAATCCCATTTCCCATATATATAGTTGGTTACCTTTTCCTTTTCTAAATCAAATATAGTAAGTGTATTCTATAAGTAGAAATAGCTTGCAATACTTTAGTAACAACTTTGAGGAAATAAAATTATATCAAGTGATAGACTTAACTCTTACACCAAACTCTTTATTAACCACTAATCTCTTGATAAAAATGTCATTATTCATTCATTCATGTATTGTAAATTAAACCTCTTTAACAAATTTCCTAGTTCTTCTCACAAGGACTCGCTCAACACTAATGGTAGGTAATACTTCTTACACACTTCAACTTCAATTACATGTCAAACCTTTATTTAAGGAACCCATGCACTAATCTCATGCATATTTGCTCTTGAAGTTCTCCTCTTTTTTCTCAAAACAACCCTCACAAAATAGTCTCACACAAGAAGAAAAAAATAAAAAATTCAATCGGGGTAGAATATGGTTGTTTAATTTCCTAAACCAAAATTTCAAATGCAAAAAGTTGAGGCCGGAGTAATAAATTTCCGGCCAATAATCAAACCCTTTGATCATCAATACGCCGATGTCGACGTCGGATGCGCCTATTCCCGAACCACCATTTCCTCAAGACCCTACTCCACCCGTTACACTCGTGTTAACCATACTTCTATTAGTCATGTTTTTTGTAGGTTTCTTTTCTATATATTTTTGTAGATGTTTTCTTGAAAATATAGTTAATTCTTTGAATAATAGGCAAACTCCTAGTGGAACTCCTATTAATCCAACTAGCCTTACTCCTCCTGGCCTAGACTTAAGCATTGTAAACTCATTTCCAGCATTTACATATTCAAGTGTTAAAGATTATCGACGTGATAAGTTCGGCCTTGAATGTGCTATATGCTTGTGCGAGTTTGATGATAATGATGTCCTTAGACTCTTGACGACTTGTTGCCATGTCTTCCATCAAGAGTGTATCGATTTGTGGTTCAAGTCTCATAAATCATGTCCGGTTTGTCGGAGAAACCTTGATGCCTTAGACACGAGGCAATCACCCGAGAGGCTTCCCAACATTGAGAGTACAAGAACTAGTACCGGAAACAATAATGTAGATGAAACCATCGATGGAAATGACCCTAGAGATACTGATGACGCGATTAGCATTGTGATTAAGGAGGAGAATGAGCCTATTGATGAAGGGATATTGTTTGATGGTAAGGGAAATGGTGAAGTTCCGTTCATAAGTGAAAAGTTTCCAAGATCACATTCTACCGGACATTCAATATTTAGGAATAGGAATAAAGAGGATGATTATAAATATACGTTAAGATTACCAAAGCATATCAAAGAAACCATCACAAACAAGCAGCATATTGTCACGTTAAGTTGTACTGCAATTGGAGATTGTACAAGCATACCACCAAGAAGTCATCAAGTTTTTGGAGAAATTTCTGATTTCGCACAAGTAGCTAACAACGTATAACAATCTATTTTTTTTCTACACCATTCGATTTACCTCCTTTTCTTCATGATTCATCACAAGAATCATTCTATTTATATTTTTTTGGGTCTAATTCTGAATTTTGGCTACTTAATTAGTTTAGGAATGTAGGTTTAGACTATTTGTATTATCAATTATATCAATTGTGTAGAAGATTTGCATGTTTTGCTACATAAAATAGCACTATATGTCACACAGAAATATAAAGTACTACATTTTTAAAAAGTTGGTTTTTTTTTTAGTTACATACAATATTGTATATTGTACTCATATATGTACTCTGCATTTCTCATTGTTATACTTTAACGAAGTATTAAGTATACTAATACGGTTGAAATATAACCTTTTCAAACAACATATATAAGTGTTCGACATTCAAAATGAATTACTAGTATTAAAAACACTTAGGAAAATTTGTAAATTACCACCCAAAAAAGGGTCCTCTTTTGAAATTACCACCCACTAAAAACTTTATTTTAAATAACCACCCATTAAATTAAATAACATCTCAGATTACCACCCATTTTAATTTTCCGGTGTAATATCCGTTTGAGGGCCCCACATAACGGCTATTAACGGCTAGTTTGACTTAATTGACTGCGTTCCTCCTCGATTTTTCTTGTTTATATATTCTTCAACTTAAATTCACAAATTTTTCCCCTAATTTCCCCATATTTTAACTTAACTGTGCGACGAAGTTATCCACTCAAGTTCAGACCCAATTGAATTCGCATCTGAGGTAAGAATTCTGAACTTAAAAAATTAGGGTTCCTGGGTAAATTAAATTTGGGGATTTTGCAATTAGGTTTCGTGGAAGTAATTAATTGGGTGTTTCTGTTATTTTTCTGGTAATTGGAGTTGATGTTGTCCAAATTTGTTGAATAATTGTATCATATGTGTTGTGTTTTTTGAAAGAAAGATTTGAATGATTCATTCTTACATGGAGTTGTAAGCTTGTTTTTTTTTTTTTTCTGTTTTTTTGGATTATGTCTTGCAGAATTGGAGGAGAATAAGTACATTTTCAGATTTAAGTATTTGAGTTTTGTTGTTGACCTTGAATATGAAGTAGGCAAGAGTAACTTACAGGATACAGCCATAGCTTTCGAAGATCAACTTCGTGACATGGAAGATCCAATTGAAGGATCAATTGACCTTGAGTATCCCATATTTCAGTATATGTATAAAGGGAAGTTGGAAGAGAGATGTTGTATTTTGTGTTTAATGGAACAGGTCGAAGAAAAGAAGAAAAAAAAAAGGAGGGAAGTAAATAGTGTGGGGCCCTCAAACGGATATTACACCGGAAAATCAAAATAGGTGGTAATCTGAGATGTTATTTAATTTAATGGGTGATTATTTAAAATAAAGTTTTTAATGGGTGGTAATTTCAAAAGAGGACCCTTTTTTGGGTGGTAATTTACAAATTTTCCAAACACTTATAACGGGTTAAAAGAAAAAAAATTCGTATTACCATATGGTTTTTTTTGAAGAAATATTTTTTTTTGAAGCAAACGTGAAGAAATATTGTCATATGGTTTTTTTCAAATAAAACAATAAGGGGCTAAAGCTTTCCTCCCCATTCCAATATATGACTAAATTGATGCTCATTTTTCATTTTCAAATGGGAATTTCTCGTCGAGAAAATACTCGTTAATATGCGATATTAACAACCCATTCCAGCATTTCCTTTCAAAAAAAAAGTGCAGAACTTGAAAAACAGTAGCATTTCCTTTCAACATCATCAATGGAGGATTTCTCTTCGACAATGTCATTTAACCATAACAAGCATCTCAAAGAACAGTTAACCATTTCTTCAACTTTCTCTCCTCTTTTTATTTCAACCCTGAATAATCTGATTTGATTGATTTGTAAATTTGTGGCTGTATCAAATTTAGGTTTGTTAGCAACTTAACTGGATCATCTTTGCTCGACATTTTCTCAATTTCATTCGTGATTCCCGTGAGTTTTCTTCAATATTTCTGCTTCGTTGATTTCTTAGTGTTCGATTTCAATTTTGGTATGGAGTAATTAATTGAATTCGTTGCAATTTTTTTTGACTAATTCTCAGATTATTGTGCTTCTTCGGCGTGCAATTGGATTTAACTACGTTTCTGGTATGTTATTTTAGTGATACAGCAGCTGTTAAAATTAGCTATGATTACAAGTAATTTCTATTTAAAATATATGAATTCTATTGTGCAATAAGTAGGATGATTGTTATGTCAATGAATAGAACAATTAGGGTTTCTGTGTATACTGTTTCTGGAATATTTTTGATATGATATAGATGGAGTGTGAAATGATAGTTGAGATTGTGAGAAGATGGTTGAAGTTAATTCCATGCTTGTGGTAAGCTCATTGAATAAAGATCTGTGGGACATTGCAAGGGAAGAACTTCATAAAACCGAATCCCTTTACTTGCCTGTTTATAGGTATTGGCTTATTGATGATGTTTGCTCCAAAGTATACAACGCAATCTATATGCTATATTTCTTTTTTCTTTTTTCAGGCTCCATTAAATCGCAGAGGTCATCAAAGAAAGATGATGGTGATTCAGCTACTGCAAAGTATTTCAATGCCTACATGGTGTCAATGGCTGTGGATTTTCTCTTCATTGTTGTTCCTATACTTTTAATTCACACTGTAAGTTGATCCATGTATAGTGCGGGAGTATTATATAAAATGCCCAAGGAAAGAATTATGATGAGTTGATGACTTCACATATAGAATTCCTTGTCTGGTTCAATATTATTGATCTAAAATTTTTATCAGTGTTCAAGTCATGTTCTTCCTTTCCAAAATTTTAAAAATCTTGCACTCTTGCATAAGATCCCATTCTTATTTAGTAGCTGATTGGTCTGCTCTCATTGTTAGAGACTTAGCATTCTTCTAGTTCCAATCCAGTGCATGGTAAACATCTCTGTTATGTTAATAAATCTATAATTTTTTTTCCGCACACCATCAATTCGATTTTAAGTAGTATTTTCATCACAAAAAAATTCACTTATCTTATTAATCCCACACTTATCTTATTTGAACTTATCTAAACTTATTTGAAATTTTCAACCTTTATTGGACCACATATAAGGTGTTAATAAACCTTATTGGAACTTATTAACTCTTATCTTATCTAATCTGAACTTTTTAACCCTTTGCTCATCTATTAGAATCTATTAAATTATTCATTTATGGTTCGAGAGTGTATGCTTGAAACTTGATCAAGACCAAAATGTCACACATTCTTAGTCTTGTTCTTTGATCTTGCTGGTACCTTTATATTGGCAGATTAACGTGAAAGGTTGTGAGGTGAGAATTTATAATACACGAATCAGACGACTTTCAAAGGTTTCAAGACCCGGTGTCAAATTTTTTTGGGATTACAGAGAATGAATCTTTGGATCATATAATGTTTTGAAACCATACATGGGCACTGGTTACTTGGTTAGTCATATAATGACCCGTGGCAGAGTGTTAACGAGGGGATGCATATTTGTAAACGGATAGCTTGATGATTAAGGCAATGTGGACGGTCCCAACCACCCAAATGGCCTTTTGTGGTTTCATGGGAAGCTCCCTCTTTTCTTTCCGGTCCAAAACAATATAAAATTGTCCAAAATTGAAGGTTAATACACGAAATTGAACTGATTTTGGAGGTTTTGAGACATGCTGTCAAAAACTCTTGGAATTGCAGGGGATACATCTTGGGGTCATATAATGTTGTTTGGAACCATATATGACCAGTCGGTCATACAAAGTCTTGCTGTGGCCTTTTGTTAATAAAGAAGGCGTAAGTTAAAAGTGGCTAAACTGACGGAGTAAAGGCAAAGTGGATGGTTTCAACCACGGAAAATGGCCTCCCAGGGTGTCATGGGGTTCATGGAAAGCCCCTCAACTTTTTTCCTTTACGGGTCCGAAAAGGTCAAAAGTTGTTTGAAATTAAAGGTTATAATTCACGCTTTTGGGCCTATTTCGGAATTTTTTTCTAAAAGTGAAGTGAATGCTTGTGGTGTCATCCAGGGTCATATAAGTTAGTTTGGAACCATAACAAGCCATTCAATTGGACTATAAAGTCTTAGTCTTGAGATTGTGTTTGGTTAAGCTATGTGGTTATTTCGTAATTAGGTTGTATTGGTAGTGAAGAGTTGCAAGAGATGTTTTCAATAGTCACCAACTTGGCATCTTAGGTTCCTATTTAGGCGTTGGGAATCCTTCATCTCCATTGGTGTTGTTGATAATTCCTAAATTCATTACTTACTAGTTACTGCAACTTTTTATCATGCTGTTGTTTATATCATACTATTATACTATGATAATATATTGGTGCTGTGTTTGTTACTCAGCATCATTCAATGTTCAATTTGGTTTGATTGTTTTCATTTGTTCATTCATAATGGAATAAATGAATCAAACCCTTTTTAATGCAAGATGGAAAAGTATCCATAACCTAATAATGGAGTGAAACTTCATCTCATCTTTATCAACAAGAATAGAATATTCATTATTATTAATGGAAATTGTCATGCTTTATTATTATTATTATTTTTATTTTCCTGAATTTTCTCCCTTTTCAGTAATAAAATACATAAATAATTATTATTTCCTTCGTTACAGAAAAATTGCAACACTTTGACTAAAAGTGTGAGAGATTTTTGGACGAAGTGTTGCAATTTTTATGAAATTGAGGAAGTATATTTTACGAAAATAAATAAAAAAGTATTGTACTTTATTGTATATGAATAAATTATGCAAGTATCATGTCTCATGCATACAATCATTTGTTGAGGAATATATATATATATATATATATATATATATATATATATATATATTGTTAACAACACTACTTTACTATAGAGTCCTATATTATGTATGCTATATGTTATACATAATGTTTTCAAAACTTCACTGTGAAAGTAATATCGGAGAACAGTTAAATTTGCATTATAGAAAGTCTATCCTGCACTAGTCCTGCTCTCTACTCTTGCTTCGTCTTCAAGAAGTGAAGAACTAGCATATCATGGACCCCTTAACTGTTGAAGTCAAAATGTAGATGTACTTTGTAAATTGAAATAAATATTGCAATAGACCTCTATAATAAAAAATTTATTGTACAAAGTGCAGAAATGGAAAATCATATAGAGGGTAGGTGATGTATTTAGCCTTTAATGTTAATGCTAGGGAATTGCAGTGCAAGAATCATCTGTGTGCTACTGAGTTCCTCTACTTAATTGCTCACAAGTCCATGTCCATGTCCATTATTTTGCTTAAGTCTAGGCTGTTTGGTTTTTAGTTTGGAAATGAGTTTCATTTGCGCCTAGCATTGTGAAATCTTTGAAACAATACAAAAGAATGGGATAGAATGCATCAAATTCCCATCTCTGGGATTTCTTGCGGCAATTGGATTCTGAATGGGGCTGTATCACTTGTATATTGTGTCATTTTGAAATGGTTGGAAGCTTGCATTTATATGCTTTGATATATGTTTAGTGATTGTACACATTATTGTATAATAGTTCAGTGATAGAAGGATTAGTCAACTTGACAAAAGATTTGTTTTGGTTCCAGGTTTTGTCAGAATGGATACATAAACTAGCGCTACTGCTGACGTTATTTCTTCTATTTTTAATGCTAGTCAAAAGGTAGTTCTTATGTCATGCAAAGTTACAAAAATTATTGGTACAACATGAATTTGGTGATTAATGACCTTTAATTTTCTGTGTGCATATGGGCAGATATAGTACATCATCTTCTCCTGGAAGTCACGAACCTTGTGATACTGTAAGGAAAAGTATATCATCGTTCAGAGTTGCCATGGTAAAAGATTTACCTTGTTTAAGTGTAATTATTTGATGTAGCACTATAACTGTATGATTATGTTCTCATAAGGTCCCTTTTGTCTCACAAGGATGATTACTGCAGATGATAATTACATGTACATGTATACTTGCTGTTGACTTCAAAATATTTCCTCGAAAATACGCAAAGACAGAGACCTATGGAACCAGTTGGGTAAGAATGTTGTAGATTCATGTATCTTTTCTACCTTTTAGTAAAATTCAGATTGAAAAGCCATGGTCATTAAAATATCCCTCTTTCAGAATACCTGTTTGGGCTGTTTTGGTTCCTAAGTGGGGATGACCATCATGGGAAAGGTCTTTTGGATTTTCTGCTAATTGCAGCCCGCAAATACCATGGAAGAACTTTAAATTCAAGATTAGTGATAGGATGTGGTATTTATATGTTGAATAAGAAAATAAATGAAATGCCTTTTGTAATCCAGGCCTTTCTGTGTTGTCCTTGTCACTTAGTAATTTATACTCCTTGTTGTCTTGATAGCCTCTCTTATTTGTTTTAGAACAGTGCATTGTGAAACAGAGGGAGTACCTTTGGCTTTTTTTTTTTGTGAGATACTTCAAATATTATAGTTTTATACACTGTTTCTTGCTGTCCAGTCAACCTTATGCTTAAAAAAAAATATGTATAGAAATTTAAAGTCCTTTGTAACTTATCCCAATTAATATGATTGTATCAGATGGATCTGGGAGTGGGATCATTTGTGGTGGCTAATGCCTTGGTTTCACGGCACGCTCGTAATGTGTTTTCAGGGTGAGTCTGTTTAGCTGTTGTTAAGCTTAACATATGTGGCGTCCATTATGTTTACTTTGTATTTGTTATTTCTAAAACAATTTTTATATTGTAATTATTTGGATTTTATTTCTGCTGATTCTTATGTGACCTCAGAGGATGGAAGATTGCCCTTCAGTCTACATGTCCACTGATCTTGTTGGGTTTTGCTCGTCTCGTTTCAACTTCAGGAGTGGATTATCAGGTGAGGATTAATAAGACTTTTGTCTTACATTGTTATGGTTTAAATTTCCCATTTGACAACCCTAAATTTCAATTAAAAGATAATTAGTAGCAATTTATTGTTAGTAACCTCTGATTGAGAGTCTCTGACTACTCTCTGCGGATGTATAAGAAGTCCTGACAGTGTGGCCCTGTCCATGAATATGCATTGCATTGTTTTTTTAGTTGAAGACATTCTTGTAACATCTATCTGTCATTTTGTCATCTTAGGTCCATGTGGGAGAATATGGTGTGCACTGGAATTTCTTTTTCACTCTTGCTGCAATCTCACTTCTGACATCGGCAATCAATGTTCATCCACAATATTGTGGGGTTCTAGGTCTGTTCATCCTTATAGGTATGTTTTCCTTGTGTGAATATCTACATGATAAAGGTTTTCATAATTTAAGTAATAGTGTGTCCCATAGTTCATGGCCTTCGTGCACACGGTAGGCTTGAGTCTTGTTAAGATTCACATCATTCCATCTTCCTTCGGCCACAATAACATTAGTTTTGTAAACTGGGTGTATACTTTGTAGCTCTTAATAATCTGAGGCAGAACGACATTCATGCCCTAATCTTAATTTCTATGATGCTGTAGAAAATCTCTTGCTAGACATAGTTATATGTTTTCAAATATATGACAAATTTGGTGATATTTTTCAAAATTTATTTTTCCACTGACTAATCAGAAAAATCAATAAATTCATGAGACCTCTTTCAATCCTATGAACTCTTTAACTGTTGCACTGCACTATAAAAGGTTGTAAATTATCTATAATAATCTCTTACAAAAACTAATCTGTCTCTTAAAGTTCTTCCTATTTAGAATTTTGCAACTATTCACAGTTTGAAAGAATCTTCAAAATTATTTCCTATTACTGGTATATAAGACAAAATAGTCATGTGGGGTCTTGTTTGATTTATATCAATGAGTGCTTAAAGAATATCTAATTTGTATAATTTTTGAAATTCGTAATTAGAGATTCCAATGATCAAAGATGTGTATTGACAAATGTGTACATTTGAATGGAAGAACTTTTAGAAATGGAGGGAGTCAATATCTATAATTACAATGCACAATTACATGAAAAGTTACTTTGTAGGAGAATCTAATGATAAATTTGATGTATACTTAAAAATTGGTATTTCCCTCCTATTTGTGATACATATTCTTCTTTCGCACCAAGTTGTGTTTGAATGAAAATAAAAAATACAAGACCTTAAAACTATTTTTTCCTGCTGCATCACAGAAATTACATTTTGGAAAAAACTAAAGCCATAAACTGAAAATGAATAACAATGTGAAATTTTCCAGGGATTGGGGAAAAAAAATACAATGTCAAGTCAGAGTGCTGATAAGAATAAAGATTAGCATGTGGTTATGTTGGATAAAAAGTTACTGTGATGACAACTGAAAGTTATACAATTGGAAACTTTGGTTTCCTTTAAATGTTGGGTCAGTGGGGTATGATGTGAATTCATAAAATCGTAGGACTGTTATGAGCAGTGACTATGTAGTAAATTTACTACAAGAACTTTGTCAATCTCAGATTCTCAGGGTTATCATATTTAAATTTCCCTTTCTTATTTGTTTTTGCCGTTGTCATTCTAATGACAATTATGTATTGTCTTCCCTGTTGATTAAATTGACTCATCAGTTTTTCAGGGTATCAAATTTTTTTGGTGCAGGGGTTAAACACTTATCTTCTGTCGGATGTTAGAGGATTGGACATTATAAGCCAAAACAAAGAAGGCATTTTTAGTATATTTGGTAAGGGCCTTTAAGCACATCCCCTTCCCCCCCCCCCCCCCCCCCCCCCCCCGTCTTTTTTTTTTTTTTTTTTGTAAACTTTTGCCTATTGGCAATGTCTTGTATGGAAGGAAATTTTTAGAAAAAAGCTAAAAGTGGGTTTGGAAAGAAAGCTCTCTATCAGATATTTGTGTATCATCATATGTTGTTACTTATTTTCTAAATTGTTTTGAAGCTAAATCTATTTTTACATAAAAATTAAAATTCTATGTACTTTAGAGTGTGTAGATGTCTGATGTTAATGGTCTCTCATTCTTAGGATATCTGGGTATGTATCTGATTGGTGTTCAGCTGGGCTATCAACTCTTCTTTAAGAACAATAATTCTGCTTCTTCACATAGAGATCAGCTGACAAGATACAGAGTCTGTGCTGTTTCTGTTTTACTCTGGTAGATTTCTTTGTCCCTACTTAGATTTAGTAGTCATTCGGTGGTTTTTCTGCTGCTAATCATTTCTCGCCAATGTAGGCTGTTGACTCTCGTTTTAAACCTGCATGTAGAACAAGTCTCACGGAGAATGGTATTGCTACTATGATGTTGAGTTAATATTATAATATCTTAGCTTACTATTTAATTATTCTGACTTAAATTAAATTTCTTATTATATTTTTCAGTGCAACATGGCTTATGTGATGCTTGTGTTGGCTGTAAATTTTGAGGTATTCCATTTTCCTTGCTGCCCTCTATTTTCTTTAATCAGCTAATTTGATTGATTTGTTACAGAAAGATCTGTGTTGCTTGTAAACTGTGGTATTGTATATAATATTTATCTTTACAGTATACGACTCGTAGTGTGGTTGGTTGAGAGTTTATCTAGAATGTTCTATCAAATCCTGATTTTATAATTCAAGTTCTAAATCACTACTTTCAATCGTGGAAATTAACCAGCTTGAGCAGTAAGAGTTTCCATTTCTTATTATATATGAATCACACTTTGTAGGATTTGAACCTATGACATTGGGTTATGGAGTTTCTCGTTCTACCAACTGGAACTCTGGAACGACCCCTATTCTGAAATGTAATTGCTCTTTTTTAGGCCCAGGCTTATTATTGAAATAGATTATTGGCCTGGACATTTGGCTTTCGGCTTTCCACTTATACCAAAAGATATACTACACATCTGTTGTTTATGGTTGCAACTTGCCAGAAACTACGGTGAAAAGCCTTCTGTTAATGGTAACTACTGCAGCTTGTATCCCTGGCTCCAACTGTGCCATCTATTCAGTGACTGTGACTGATAATTAGGGTAGTTGAGCTTGATTTATTGCGGTCCTTGTGGATAAACCATTGCCGGCTTACACTTTCAATCTTGTTTTTTAGCTTTTTTTTTTTTTTTTTTTTTTAGTAGAATGTTTTTTAGCTACTGCTACGTATTACTGAAAACTTTAGCATTCCTGTTGAAATTTATGAGATGCTTTTCTGGTTCTATAGCATACATCTAAGCCCTTATCTCTTGTTGTGCTCAAGAAGCAACATGATTAGATCTTGAAAGGGCATACCCATCTTCCAAAAATCACTATACAGAATGCACCTTCACTGCCTCTTATGTTCTCCTCTGCTTTGCTTAAACTTAAGTAAACAACCTGGTATTTTGTCACAATCTTCTCATTCCCTGGAAATAGGGACCATGCCTTTTAGTAGTGAACTCCCTCTTTCAAGGTGTATCTAGCACCTATTTATTTCCTCGTATATTGGCTTAGTACTTTTCTGTGCAGAAACAGAGAAGTAACTCTGGGCCATCAGTTCTACGGTGTAATTGCTGCTGGAAGTTAAGATTTAGGATTTTATGCTTCATGATACAAAATCATGGCCAAATTAAATAGTAATACTAGTATGTTGTTTACTTTAATCACTTAACTGTGATAAATACTGTTGTATAGCTCAGGCTTGGGTCATGGTGCAAAGATTTTTAACTTCAATAATCTTTATAGGCATTGGGGTAATGTCAAGTGGGTATATCTTTTAACTTTTAATGTCAATCTATGTGGACTAAATGGTCATTTGCTTTTTATTTATTTGATCTATAGTATGCTGGTGAGGTGCCTTTGGATTGTAATTTTGTTGAAGTACAAGGGTACACAAGTGCATATTTACTAAAATGGATGCTACTTGTGTGAAAGGAATAATAATTTATAATGCATAAGGTTAAGTAAAATTACAGTCATGACTTATGCGGCTTATGACCCTTTCATGTCTAATATGTAATACTACTAAAACAAGTACATTATTTTGGTAGCCTCTAATCCTCCATATAACAGTGTCTTGATTATTTAACATTAATAATTGCTAAAATTGATAGGTTCTGGCAATTTTTATGCTTTCTGAGTTCACTCCTGGGAGTAACTTCACGGCACTTGAAGGAGCTTTTGACCAAAATTTATTGGCATCCTTCCTTTTGGTAAATGAGCTTTATATATTTTCTGGTACTTGTTATAATAATTAAGTTATTTTCTATCTTCCCTTATTATTGATCTCTTAATTTGTGCACTTTGAGTTGATTCTCTCTCTATTTAATTTCCCCTTTGTGCAGGCAAATTTACTAACAGGACTGGTAAACTTATCTATCGATACTCTGTTTGCTTCTTCAAATCAAGCCTTGGTTATTTTAGTGCTATATGCATTTGTTCTGAGTTTCTTCACTGGACTTGCGAGTTTTTATGGTTTTCGGTTGAAGTTTTGGTAGTGATGGGTCATTTCAGCGTTATACCAATGCCAATTTTGTTTGTGTTTTCTCTACCATTACCTTGAACGTGTATTGTGTAAGAAACATTTGCTTGAACAGCTCATCGTTTAAACAGTAATTTAAACAGATTGCACTTCATCAGTTCCCAAAGCTTTATATTTTCTTCTAATCCTGATGCTTTCTTTCTGAACTGTATCTGTTCTTTATTCAGTACAGATAGATACAAATTCATAGGTTTTATCCAAATTACATTTCATTTTCTGATTTGTTGGTCCGGGGGCGCTTTCAGTATCAGCCACATGCATCTGCTTCATTGTTTTCTTTGAGGACATTTGTCTCTACAATATATCAAAATAGCATGATCATAATATTACAGGTCATATTAATGTGAAGATGTTTTTTTTTTTTTTGTAATTTTGTTTCTCCTCATGCAAAGGTGAGCTTTCTGATATGCCTTTCTATCAGCTGGCATAATGACAGGAATAGAGAAGAGATTATTTGTCTAGGGATTGTATTATAGATACCAAAATGTCGCTATTCGATGTATTATTATGATATAAAACAGCAGAAAAACTTTATAATTTGTTCATATTTTGTTACATTACATGTTAATGATTATAATGTGTACTTTTTTCATGGGTAAGATTTCACATGGATCCCTCTGATGTGAACTCTGGCAGCTTGGACCATGACCCAGGTCCACCTCCCGTCCTCTTCACCTGATTAGGAAAACAGTTTTTCCTCCTTTTCAATTCAATAAAACCTCCTCTTTGAGGGGTTTTGGGTGTTGTGGATGACTAATGTTGTTTTCACCCCGGTTTCAATTCGGGACCATATAATGTACTCCGTAGTAATTTCATCATATAATGGTCGAATTCCGTTTTTTGGTTAAACTTGCTCTTATTTGTTGAACACTTTATGGTTTACACTATTTGATTCTAGTTTGCTGATTTCATGAATAATTCGTGTGTAACTGTGTCGTCATATGTACTAACTTTTCCCATAGTAGTTTAAAATGCAGCAAAATTTGGGGAGTGATCTATTATTTAAGGACGGCGGAATTATTTCTGATCTTTTGCCATAGTAGTTTAAAATGTAGCAAAATTTAGGGAGTGATCTATTATTTAAGGACGGCGGAATTATTTCTGATCTTTTGCCAACTTAGACCAAAGTAGCGAAGTATCACTTTGCAATAAATCCTTTATTGTTTGTTGTAAAACCCTGGAATCTTGTGTTACACTATTACTCTGGTTCCTCATACGACCTGCGAATCGCCTGACCATGAAATGGAACACTTATAGGCTAACTTAACATAACAAGGTAGAGTTGGCATCACAGAAACTAATATTGTACTAGTCTTTGTACTTAATAATAAAGTTAAATCATAAAAACATTGATTCTAGACAATTAACTCATGTTATATATCCAAAAAATAGTTAAATGTAATGTGTTAAAAAGAAGTGATTATGACATGCGAGTGACAAATAAGTTGATTTAGGTGTCCACTAATCAATGGGTTAACCTGACAAATTGAGGACCTCTCTCAGGGGCCCTAGAGTGAATATATGAAGTGTAGCTTTTGAACAGCTTGTAATATTTGTAACTATACTCATTTTCATGCAATTTTGTTGGGCCCCCTTTTTCACCTTCCCTAGCAGCAAAACCATGGCAGTTTCTTGGGTAGCATCCTTTTGAATTTGGGAAAACAAAACTAACACTGCTCATCTCTAAGTCACTACCGTTGATACTTCTTCAGAGACTCAGTGTGTTTTCCTGAAACAGGTTGCCCTCTCACGTGCTTTGCTTTTCGTAGTTTAACGTAATTTTTTAATTTTGGGTTTTAGCATTCCCTCTCTATCTTAAGCTTGATTGGAGTATAAGAGTAATGAGTCTCAGACTTTTCTATTTCTTTGATGAAGTTTCTTTGTTAGGCTAGTTATATGCATATAATCGACGTATTAAGTGTTAGAGCGAGGGAGGAAGAGAAGATGGCATTAGAAGCAATGCCTAACTGCAATGATATCTTTAACTTCATGGTATATGAAACTCTGAATGCTCCTATATATGGAAGTAATTTTGGCATTATGGAAGATGTTGTCGTTGTGGAACAGCCTAAAGTCCTCGGTGGTACGTCTGGATGTCCGAGTCATAGAACAGACAGCCGGAGGGTGAATTTGGGGGTGCAAGGAAAGAAGAAGAGGAGGAGAAAGCCAAAAGTTTGCAAGAACAAGGAAGAAGCTGAGACACAGAGGATGACTCATATTACTGTCGAGAGGAATCGTCGTAAGCAGATGAATGAGCACCTTGCTGTTCTACGATCCCTCATGCCTGAATCTTATGCTCAAAGGGTAAGTATTTAAGTATTTTTCAATTTTGATGCTCACTGTTTCATTAATCTTGAGCTAGTAAGTTTCTTGTTTAAAACGGTGTTTGTTTTTATATGAATGATGAAAAATCATGCACAATAACTTTGATTATGCAGTGTAATAGAAGCCATCAACATTATATTAGTGTGCTGATCTCTTATCTGTCCTATCTATCATTGTTAGTTTGTTACATAAGAAATGTGATCATTTTAATCTGTGATAGTGCTGATCACCTCTTATTGTATCAGTGTTGCATAAGAAACGTATATTTCATACTACTTTTGGTTCTTTCGTACTAGTTTTTACTCTTTTGGATGTCAATTATTTCTCTTTTTTTCCGTCCCTAAGTAATAGGTCGATTTCATATGGGCTTTTTAAGGGGATAATTTTACGAATAAAGCTACAACACCATGATAACACTTCACAATTCAAAGCGAGCTTTTGTTCATTACCTTACTAATGCAACCATTAAGAGTTGTATGATAAAGTTCATGTGTTTGAATTAACTACATTTAGAAAGTGACATTATTTTGAGACGAACTTTGAATGAATGTGGCCTATTTCTGGGTTGATGAAGCTTTTTTTCCCCCTCAGATTTGATTGTAAACTCTTTTGTGTTGTATGTTTGGCAAGTTTAGGTTAAGACTTCATAAGAATTAGCCTAACATTATTTTCTAAGCTCTGTTTTCTTTGAAATTATACACAAATGTTTGGTATTTCTGCAGGGTGACCAGGCTTCAATTGTTGGTGGTGCCATAGAATTTGTGAAGGAGCTTGAGCATCTTGTGCATTCCCTCGAAGTTCAGAAAATGATCATGCTACAGCAAGCAGAAATTACGAGATCAGAAACCGGTCACAGTACTCCCACCACCACACACAATAACAGCACATTGCTAACTCCATTACCAGAATTTTTCTCTGATTCTGATCACTCTTTCTCTCAACTTGGTAACAAGTATACCTTAAAGAGCAAAGCTGCAGCAGCCGAAGTTGAGGTCACCTTGATCGAAACCCATGCAAATATCAGAATCCTTTCGAAGAAAAACCCAAGGCAATTATCAAAATTGGTCTCTGGCTTCCATACATTTCGTTTCACCATCCTTCATCTTAGTGTCACCACCTTGGAACCTTTAGTCCTGTATTCCATCAGCGCGAAGGTATGTACACTTGTACACTTGTACTACATTTTGTTACATTCTCTATATGCATTTCTTGGCAAAACAGACCTGTGTATAATCATCAGTATTGTATACAAAGCTAGATTACTCGATTTTGACTATGAGTAAAATTGACCTAGCTAACCTAAATTTGATGATTTTTGAAAACTAATATTGTATACATATTATTGAAAATAATTTGAACAAGAATAACGCAAAACAATGCTAATTTGAACGACCTATTTGCCACCTGTAGTTGTATACCTCAAGTACAACTTTTTAATTTAAGAGTGTACTAGTGGAAGTAAGACACAAGATCGCCATTATGAAAATAATTGATCATTGTACAAATTTAGCTTCATTTATTGGCAAAAATCAAATTACTACCTAGCTAGCTAATGCAAGACCACATAATGAAATAGCATGTTTTCAATATTTGCTATATTTACTATAAACAGATATGCCTTTATTTTGTCACAATTGGGGAAGTTAAAACATTTTAAGCTTTATGAAAGTGAACATTCTCATTGCAGGTGGAAGAGGGTTGCCAGCTCAATTCTGTAGATAGTATTGCAGAGGGAGTTCATCACATGCTTAGAATAATTGAGCAAGATGTTGCTCCTTCATTCCTAGCATATTAGCTCCTTTAGCTTTTAGATTTTCATTTAAGTACCTCTTTGTGATATTTCATTGTTACCCATGTCACGGGCACGTAAAAACGGTATGGGACCGTAATTTGTGGCTTAGTTTTGTTAAATGTATCCCAAAGTGTACCATGGTACATATGCACCACGTACCAATTCACACGCTCTATATAGTGGTTCACGAGGGTGAATAGTGAATTAGGTAACACTACAATATCCTTGCTTGTTTCTTAATAATCTAAATAGGCTTCCAAGCAAATTATCTTTGTTGTTGAAAGGTTTTCAGGGTTCACAATTAGATTGATCATGAAATTCACAGTAGTGCTTGGATTGTGTTATTATTTATTCAAGTTTGTACTATTTACTATGTAGTTTGCTTACAAACATGAACACTGTAATGAAGATTGACAATATAATCTTTATCCTAGAGGCTCAAAGTATCACAATTGGGTCAACTTCTTGAATCTTAACTCGTTACTCATTGGGCTTCGGTCGTAAATGGCCCAACTGATCAATGATAATATTTCCTCGGCCCATATATCCAAGATCATTGATGTTAGATGCTAAAATTCAGTTTCATCTTTCATGTGTAATATTATGCACTGCTATAGCCTATACTCCTTCCCCGTGAGGGTATGGCCTTAAAGATAATTTTCCTTTTTTTTTTTTTTTGAAGGGAAGATAATTTTCCATCTTGAGATAAAAAGGATTCTATATTTCTATGCCATTCATTCATTCTAGTGTGTAAATAATCAAACCAAAGTCAATATTGATTGTACTCATTTTTAGGGCTTTATACACATTTTGTTATGCTTCTTAGGTTGGAAACTAACTTATATTTCGTATAACCTTAAGGGACAAACTATGCATTCCTTTAAATTTTGAGAGAGGAAAAAAAAAAAAAAAAAACCCTCAAAATTGGTCCGAAAACATATATTATAACCTTCATTTTTTTTTAGCAATTTTTTTACTTTTTCGGACCCAATATATAAAAAAGGTTGGGGTGCTTCTCATTGACCCAATGATACCTCGGGAGGCCATTTGAATAGTTAGAACTATCCATCTTGCCTTTAAATCGTCAATTTAGCCATTTATGTACATGTTTCCCTTAATCAACTCAACTCAACTCAACACGGGAATTTATATGACTAATTAGTGATTATATACAGTTCTAAACAATATTATATGAGTTCAGTTTTTTACACTTTTTCTCTTTTTTCAGTCTTGTAAAGGATAAAGGACGAGTGCTTCCTATGGACCCCTCCACATCTCTGAAGGCCATTTAAATGAATGGAATCTTCTAATCTATTTAACTTTAAATTGTAATTTTAGTTTTATACGTAAGTGTATGCCTCTTTTCATTAATTAGATCAAGGCAATTTCGAGACTTTACGTGACAGAGTAATGGTTGTATGTGGTTCCAAATAACTTTATATGACCCTAGGATGCATCCCCTACAATCTCGAGAATTTTCAACATTGGTGTTGTAACCGCTGAAATTAGTCTGGTTTTATTAGAGTACAATAGCCTTCTTATTTGGATTCCCATATAGCATTTTTGGACCTTTATTGATTATGCATGAGGTGCTTCCAAGGATTCCTTAAGGGCATCTAGAGGTCTACTCTCATTCATGCCTTTTGACCCACCTTTCATTATCATGTTTTAAGATGCCTTGAGATACTTAACCTTGCATTGCCTTGTCTTGTATTGCCATGCCTTGCTTTGGCCCAAACGCTGACAAGCCAAGACACTAACACTAAAAGGAAGAAATGAAGCTTGTCATCACAAACTTTAGCTAGGGTTTACAACACCTTATATATCGACTTAGCAAGTGTAGTAGCTTCTCTATTGGGTGTTAACTAGCAGGCTAGCTGATGGTACATTGGTGTTGTTGAAGCTTGACTCAATATGAAGATTACTAGATTGGCACACGGAGAGTGACAACTACCTTAGGGATCAGAGTGTCAAAGAAGTACACGTACAACACATCGTAACAAGGCTATTTAAGGTTCGACTTGAAAAAGACATTGTCAATGTTACATCAAAGTCATTAGTAGGATGTGAATGTGTAACAAAGTCTTTCAATTGATAAGGGGGTAAAAGCTAATTACCAAGATTCGCTAAGATACAAGTGTATGATTATGTATTACAAGGAGCACTTGATTGAATTGTCGGTATGAACACTTTGATGATGCATTTAAGTACTTTTTTTCCAAATGTTAGCTGATCGATGTGATGGCCAAATATTATCTCATCAATCTGTAAAGATTGGCAATTTCAATATTCTGAACAAGGCAAATACACGTTGCTGAGTGCTGATCAATGAGCAATGATTACGAACTACTTTCAAACAGGCATTGATGAAGGACTGCCTTTAATGAACTACACCACTCTTCCTACTTTTACCTCCATGGCTCCATTAGTAATAACTAGTAAGTACCTAGATTATTCGTATCGATAATCTATTGAATGAAATATCGCCTAAATATAATCCATTTATAGCAATCCCGAGATTATTCATATTGAACATTATGGAACAGGTGGAGCAGCCGGGGTAGGTATTAAAATTAGCCAAATCGAATATATCACCTATGTATATTCTATTCATATCATTTTGAATAATGAGCAAAATTTTACTCTGATGCAGGTCACATTGGACACATGTAACAAAGAACATATTCAACATAATAATCTGTATGAAACTAGTAAATTCAATTTATATTTTTCATTTGCATAAACAAACTTCCCCTTACAATCAAATTGAAAACAGAGAAGGAAGAAAAAAAAATAGAAAAAAGCCTTAAATTCCATTCTAATCACCTAAAAAATTACATCAAACAAACTAACTAATCTAAACCAATTAATATGCTAAACATTTCTTACCATTCATGACAATCCAAAAAAAAAAGTATACTAGTAATTTTCTCAATCATTTTTTTTTTTTTGGGGTGTGATAATCTATCATAGAGGAATAATCACTTCATTTCTTCCTCTGCCATGCTTACCAAACAAAAATCTACCACTCGAAAATGATCGTTTCATAGCAACACTACTTGTAACACAATGCAATACTCCACTTCTACTACTACTACTAGTATTACAAGCACCAAGCTTGCTGCTTTCACCAGCTATCCTCTTCAAAGATTGATCTCGAATTTCACCAATTTTCGTTACACAATCCTCTTCTCCATGATTGCATCTAATAACATCAGGAATCGAAACTCTTGTTTCATATCGATGATCCATGGAAATAGATCTTCTCATTGCATTCACCCCTCCATGATTCCTAGCACCAAGATCACTTAAAGCTCGAAAAGGAGTAGTCTTTGGTAAATTCCCACTTGTTTGCCCTACAACAAGATCACCCATTTGTCTTCTTTCATCACTTGAGTTGTTTACATCCTCCCTTTGAACTTGGTTTTCTAACAAAACATTATGATCTCGGACATTATTGTTATTGTTATTGTTATCGACTACAGATGAAGGATGATTATTAGGTGTTGGGGAGATAATATTAGCGCGACAAAGAGGGCAATTAGAGTGAGACCTAAGCCAAGTATCAATACAAGCAACATGAAAAGCATGACTACATTTAGGCAAAAGCCTTAAAGAGTCATCTTCAAGAAACTCACCAAGACAAACAGAACAATCACTACTTGTTATCAAACCATTGCCTTTTTTGTACTTAACAAGCGTGATAGTTTTTATCAATGCTTCATCTAACCCGGGTGTGCTAATAAGCCAAGCCTCATGTTGATGGTTGTTACTACCATTATTATCATAATCTTCCTCGACGATTTCTTCATTATTTGTAACGCGATTCTCCCTACTCGAGTTTGTGTTTTTTCCACAATACTTAGAGATTAAAGCATAGTAACTTACTAGGAGAAATGCACTTGCAAGGATTCCAATGATCGCGATCACTAGAGGTGAGAAAGTTGTGCTAGTTTGAGACTTGTCTTCAGGGAAGGCAAAGGGAGGTGGTGGAACAAATGGTGCAATTATACCGTCGCACCATTTAGGGCAAAATGTGCTGCATAACCTTAGAGAACAATCTTTTGTGTTCATGAAAGGTAACAAAGGTTTTGGTTTTCCTAAAAATTGCATTAGTTTACCTCAAAAAAAATTGAGTATACACAAACTAGACTTGTGACAACGTCACACAACATAAGATTTCATAAGAAACACGGGTTTTACCAACCGAATTCTCCGCGTAGAGAACAAGGTAGAGGTAAAGGAGGAGGAGGAGGAGGAGGAAAAGATAGAAGAGATAGGATGATTTAAGAGAGTTGGGTGTTATATCAAATACTTTTGTTTTATTTACTTCGTTAGTGTTGTTGTTCTCTTTTTAGCTTTACTTTAGCATTTCTTTTGAGAAAAAAAGAGAAGGGTAGAAAATTTGTTGACTAAGGTTAGTGATAGTTGAGAATTCATTAAAGTAATCAATGTCATTGTTTTATGGTTTCCCAAAAATTGTACACTTCTCCAAATTTATTTGTGTATGAATTGGAGAATGTAGCATGGCCCATGAATGCAATCTTCTTTATGATAATTGGGAAGAATGGGCCAGAAGTGTGTTGTAAAGCTTTAATTTACTTTTATGCCCTTTGCATTAATCAATAAATTAATTATCTCACTATCAATAACTAGGTACTGATATCTACACGCCTCGTCAACTACTTACAAGTTATTAGAGGTGTCAAAAGCACACCCGATTCGACCCGATCCAAAATTTATTTGAAAATTATCAGATTAAGATTTAGACTCGCGTGGATTGGTGAACATAATAATTTAGTAATATGACTTAACTTTTAAAATTGATCCGATCCGACCATATCAAACCCGATCCGATCATCCGAATTGACACCCCTACATATAAGTGGTACAACCATCTAAAATATCACTATAATCATTTTAGGACATCAAGATACTATTGTAACAGTTACAATTTCTTATTAACAAACCTATGAACTTATGAAGTGTCCATTACAATCAATTCTCTCAACCACATTTTCTTGTAATTAGTTCAACAAAGAATGCAAATAAGTAGATATGTTTATAATAGGAAAAAATGATTATCCGGATACTAACTAGTAGGTTGCTTATTAATGTTAATTTTGCTCCTAACTTTTAGTTTTTATACCCAGTCTTATATCATATTGTATCACATCAACGACACATATTTTTATCTAATTCCCTAATTGTGTCACGCACTCGTTACAATACAAAGTAATTAATCATGTCCCATCCTAAAATAAAAGAGTATACGAAGCATATTATAGACATATTTTACTTTACACTCAAAGTACATACAACTCCAAAAAAATAGGACGAGATACATACTAATATCCACATGTACATAATCTCTGTTCTATCAAAAGAATCAAGAATTTACTATCTCAACCTTATCAACTTAATTTGAACAATAATTAAATTTAATACTTCTTAATTATATTCATTAGTCTATATTAGGTTGGAACAAGATAATGCAAGCTATATATATGTTTTGCCTTACTAAAATGACTAAACAAAACTTAATTAACACACTAACTACAGTAGTAAATTTGATCACAATAATTAATTACACAGAATTCAGCAAGAAAGTGCATCAGGAATAATAAAATTAATTAAGATGATTTATTTGCCGAAAGTATGTTGAATTGTTGATCCCACTAGCAACAAGCATATATTCTTTCATCATTCAAACCTTCTATTCATAACTTGTATGTATTAAAAGGAGCAATTAAATCATAAAAATGTCTTAAAAGAATAATATTTTGTCTTAAAAAATTATTGTATTAATAAACTTGATAAAAGTCAGCTCTCTTATTTGATTCTACTTTTCCCCTAATACAATCATAATTAATTATGCTATGTCAATTGGTCAAGAAATTGCATGTCTTTTAAATGTTTAACAAAACTTATCTTTTTAATAAATTAATCATATATATAGTCTCATACACGAAAAGTTCGATGATTAGCAAAACCAATTATTACGCTAATTGAGTTGCTTCTTGTACTTTCTTACACTCAACACTCTCAAGGCCTAGCTCTTTAATTTCTATCAGCAACACTCAAATAACTTGCAAATTTTGTGATACATAACTTTAAATAAATCTTATGAGTTTATAGGGGCGATATAACTATTAACAAAATCTTATGAGCTTTTAGGGTCGATACATCTGTCTCACGTAACAATTATTTTTTCTAAAAAAGTGTTATATAAACGTATATTTAGGGACAATTCTATATTTGTCGTAAGATAAAAGGATGATTTAAGAATAAATACACGAGATTAATTTAATGAACAAGAGTGGTCAATAATCTCTTAATATAATAATAGTAAGTTAATATTGCTAAAAGCAAATGATTCTTCATAATCTCTACACTCCACCATGATCAAGTATCCACCCCTCTAAATGGTCCAATTTGTCACATGAATTCTTATAATTAAACAAATACCACAAATCAAAATGTTAGTGCTAAGGAATGTCAGCTCAGTGAGTATAACATTCTACACAACTATTTAAAACCCCCCAATTACTATGTCCCACAATAAGCCAATGAGAAAATAATATTAATCTCTTTAATGTAATTAGCATGCCTAAACCAAAATTATTAGAAATTAAAAAGGAAGAAAAAAGAGGGTGAAAGTTTTGTCAAATATCAATTTACTCAAAGATTTGAAGGCATAGGATGCCTTTAGAGCTAGCCCAAAAACTATAGAAATTAATAACCCTATAATTCAATGCATATGTATATTTGACCTAAACATATTTTTTAATTGCACATTTCTGGATATGCATAGGATTATAGGAGTATAGTATATAAAAGGTGGAACTGGAAATTAATAAACATTTTGATCTTCATGATTTTAATACTTTGCATTTTAGAAGTGTTAACTGAGTGAGATCGTCTCATATTGATAATATAATTTTAAGATTTCAAGCATTATTTTCCGCCTAAAAGGAAATTTTACCCCTAAAGTTTAAATAAGTCAGTTTTGGTTAGACAAAAAATTATGATGAAATCGCTTCCAAAAAAAAAAATGCAATTTTGTTGTTAAAAAAATCTGAGTAATTTCTGTATAAATAAATAATTTTCTCTATTTATAAAATTATACAGCATATTTCTTTTTAGAAAATAATGCATGTCTAATAAATTATTTTTCTTGAAAAGTTTTCAAGTTGAGACACTTGAAGTCAACAATTTTTAGTCATGCCTTTGTACACATTGAGGTCAAACATTCGGACATTATTGCATGAAGTTAAGAGTATATGTATCTCATGTTGATTAATATTTGCATGCAAACCCTATCATACCACATTTAATAAATCTGTCTCTGATCTAGCTACTTCTTAGCTAGGGTACTTTTGACTCAACGATTCAAAATGCATTTTTTGTTTCTGGTCAAGATTTCAAGCATAAAGTGAATCGCAATTTCACAACAAAATAACTAGACCTCGATCAGGATCTAATAATGTCATTGTCTCTTGAATATGACTCGAACCCAATCCAATCTATACGATATATTTGTTTATTTTCCAACTCGGCACCTCCATTTGTAAACCATATAGCTAGTGGACAGTACAACTTTGCAAATATTGTTGCAACTAGTCATAATAAGCAATGCTATACCTAGATAATTTAATTTCAACCATATTTGTCAAATAATAATAATACTAATAAGATAGATAAAAGAAATGGAATCAATAATGAGCTGGAAGCCATATATTTGGTTGTGGAATTGTGGGCGTTACAGCATATATATATTTATCCATCAAGACATTCTTCTCTATGGACAAGATCGAGGATATAAATCAGAATGTCCAATTTTCTGCTACCTTTATTTCTTTTTAAGGGTTCTTTTTCCACATATATCAACTTGCAACATAAATGTCTCTTTACCAAATTTGTAAATATATATAATTGTATCAAGCAATGGAAATAAAACTCACAACGGATCTAGCACGAGAGCACAAGGGTGGGAGAGGTTCGATTTATGGACTCCTAGTATGAGGTGTACCGCATGTAAAATGTATATTGTACTACATGTGTTTGGTTGACATGATTATTAATTTAAATCTTACATCTTAAATTCGTAAGGTATTAGGTTTATAGCCTTGGGGCGGGTTTGGCTCATAACAATGCCTCACGATATCAAATTAAGAGGAAAAAAATTCATTTATAATTTGAACCATATACATGATCATGTTCTTACATATCAGGATTCAACCCATACCATCATAATTTTATTTCCAAATTCAAATTTATACCAATCTTAAGTGATATTTGACTTTAATATATACAATTCCAAAATAATATGAGATGATCACCCAAGAAAATAAGTTATTGTGAGACGTCTAGTCTTATACAAATTTTGTCCTTGTAAAATGTTTGGTGTGTGAATTTATGATCTTCATATTTATTGATAAGATTTGACATTAGCAAGAACGATCCCTACGAAAGGTACTTACAACTTACAACAGCACCATTTTGATGAAAAGGTACACAAATTAAATCATCATGATAGGTGACTATTGTCTATTGAATAGTAAGGATTTGAAGTAGTCAAAATTGGCCCTACATCCTTTGTTTCTTTTGAGACACTCGGGTAGAAAAGCTTTAACCTTATGTAAATGGAAAATTTGTTCAACTTATTGAATATTAATCTAGCCATATGTAATAAACACAAATACATATAGTAATTCTACCACGAAAATTTCATTCAACAACTAGAAGTAAAATAAAATTTATTTTTAAATCTATCGATTGTTTAGGATAAACATAAGTCGAAAACTCTAAGAAAAGCACAAATGTTGTGATAAAAAAACATCAAATGTAAACTACTTGAATCTTAAAATAGAAAGATGATGAAAAAAGATATTCAGGAAAGATGGGAGATGAAATAAATACCACTAAAAATCAACTTAACACTCTTTAATTTGTCCTATCTCCATCAAAATTAGTTGAATCTTAAAAACCATCCAAAATTTGTGCATCCTTGTTGAATTCGCGAGTTTAAAAATCGGACCATGCAAGCTAATACGTTCATCAACTAGTCAATTTATAAAAACAAATACAAGGTCATTATCTTGTAAATTATGTAAGTCATAAATTCATAATGATGTTATTTAATAGACGATACTAGAGAATCACAAATTTCTCCACGTCAAAAAGAATCATTTAGGTTGAAACTGACACCAAATGATCAGCATAATTCTTGCATAATCTTGAATTACAATGATCTATATTTCTTTTGGTTAGATGTTATATTCCTTCACTTTATTTCTTATTTTACATAATTGATCTTTTGTTCTTGTCTAGGACAATAAAAAGCGCCAATCAATATTACCAATTAGGCAAAAGAGGCTAATCACGCACTAAAGTATAGTAATATTAAGCTTTTAGCCTTTTTAGGCAATATGTAATTGGGAAGACTCAGTCGTTAATATTACCCAAGAAAAAAGGGGGAAAAGAGAATGGATGAGCTAGAGAAATACTTATTTATAAAATTAAAATCATCCCAAAAAATGTCAATGAAAAAAAAAAAAAAAAATTCTAAAGAAAATATGTTCTTACGATTACAATTTTATTTAATTTTTTTACCTTCTAAAATCTTCAACAAAAAAAAAAGGACAATTTTGTCCAATCGTGATTACCAGTGGTTAGGTTAGGTATACGCAAAACTTTAAAAGTGGTTACACAAATAGAATTTTAGTATGAGAAGATTTAAAAAAGTGGTTACACAAGCTTGCTATTGTGAAATTTTTACCTTTTAAGAAAGCTAATTTTACGCCTCATGATAACAAAAAATTAGTGACGCAGTTTCACCCAAGACTAATGTTAGTGAACATCGTCTAATCAATAATCTACTATACCTGAAAGAGATACATGAAGATGTCACGACTCACGAGGGTACAACTGCCTTGAACATTAATGTAGTATAGTTAGAAAGTAGACATTTGATAAGCATGTTAACCAATTAACCATATATTTCAATGCGAAATGACAAGGATGCCAGAAAAAAAAAAAAAAAAAAAAAAAAAAAAAAAAATCCAAGAATGTGGTTGAGTATAGTTATTGCTGCCCATACCAAAGCCTCATCCAAGAGCCATATAGACGTCACCGACAATTTCGTCTCTTAAACGATAGGTAGTACAATCATCTCGACGTAATTAATGGCAACACACTTGGAACAAGAGATAGGGAACTCTAAACTCCAGATTAAGCAACTTGACAGTACACTTCTGAGTACCTAAAACAAATCGAATTACTCATTACCTAAATATGACTTGATCCCAACGACACGTTTGTCACTTCTAGCTACAAAGGCATGCGTGAATTTACAAGTCTAATCTGCAGTGTGTGATTCCTGATTCCTCACAAATGTATCTTCTATAGTTCTATACTTCTATCTGCTAGTGTTAAGATATACATAGACATAGGAAATGCTCACTTAGCCATATAATAATCATATCCTGAAATGAACTAGACTATGGAAAGCATAACAGGTTACGATTTCTAGAAAAAGGGCTAATTGACTAACGCTGTCAATATGAATACAAGGGCTTTAGGAGGATACAGAAAATTTTGTGTTGCTTGCAAGTCATAACAAGTCTGTATAAATGGAATATTATACATATCTTGTATAACTATGAAAAGTTGAGATGCAGTTACAGGTTCTACACTAGGTTTATATAAGGTAATGCGTATGCGTTATAAAAAATAATGACAGATTGCATTAGAATCTACTACAGAAAAATAATGGAATAGAGCAAAAATGTACAGACCAGATCTCAGTGAACACGACTGCATACCTCGACTTCAAAAGGAGAAAAGGTTTTTTTTTTCGCAAATGTTCAAGCATGCCCAAGTGGAAGATTTTTCTCTCTATGACTTGTCAGACTGATCTTCGGATAGTTCTGTTTCACTAAGCACAGCTGAAGATTCATCCAAATTTGTTTCTTCTCCTTCATTTGTAGCATCACCATCCTTATTCTGCTCACTGAATTTTAGGCGTACTGGACGACCCATTAGCTCCTACATGAAATTTTAATTTATTAAATTTACAGAAAAGCAGCTTGAAACTTCTTCACCATTGAAGCTATAAACATTATTGCATGTTTATAGATCAAAAATTGAGTGCTGGGGTTAAGTTGATAAAATACAAAAAAAAAGTGTTGATCGGAAGAAGCTGCCAATAGAGTATAGATATCCGGAAACAAGCCAAGCATGACAAAAATAGCTTCAAATAGCTATTAGCCTATGATAATTGGATTCCCAAACATACGCTGATACGCCCCCGAAGATATATAGATCACTGTTACTATATTGCTTAAAGTAGCAACAATCTGCACTTGTATTTCCTAAAAACAATAAAATGCTACTAGTCCCTTAATTCCTCCGTATTGCATGGCATTGGACTACAATGAATCAATGATTCGATGAAAGCACTAGATGTTAGCACATCAAAAAATTTCACCAACCACATGCTGCTAGAAGCAAAATGTTTTGGCCTTAAATTTCATTTTAGCCTTCGTTATGGTAAAATGCTCTTGCTGGATATGCCTCAAATGGAGAGCTCAAATCCAAGAGCATCACAGTGGCACAATGCAGGCTGAAATTCATCGCAGGCAATATAATGGAAGAATCTAATTAATCTGATGGACAAAAAAAAGCCTAAAAATTGAAAACTCGATGAGTTAGACTGTTATGTTGAAACAGAGGGAGTACTAGGTCAAAGACTCTTGTGTTAAACAAATAATTTACCTTCCCATCCAAAGAAGTGAGAGCATCCTCCGCTTCCTCCCTTGTGTTAAACGAGACAAAACCATAACCAGCAGATCTCAAAAATGGAGTACTCTCAAAAACAACCCTAGTTGAAACAGGAGTAAAATCAGATGAAAAGAATTCTTTGAGGTCCGTGGATCTCACTTTCCATTGGAGATTGGATACATAAAGTTTATATACTGTCTCTTTAACAGGTTGAACTGCAGGAGGTTGCGGTTGAGGCTTCTTTAGACTCTTTGCAAACTCCACCCTAATAGTTCTCCCTGACAATTCCTGAAGCATAAAAGCATAAGTTGTGTGATGTAGTTAGTGAAATATCAACATAAGATAAGAATGTGAATTTCCATTTTATTGCAATGAATGTGAATCAAGCTTTATTATTTATTTGTAATAAGACCTGATTAAATTTCTGTCTTATTGGTAAATAATCTCTTGGAAACAATTTACAATGCTGACAGCATGAATAGCCACTTCCAAGACCAACAGCCATATAGCCAGTTGACAAAATCAGCTTGATTCCAAACAAAAGGTAACATTCTAGCCAGGATAGCTTGAGTAGTTGTAAATCTATCATCAAAGTGAGCCATTCTAGAGATGGCAATACAGATATATAAAGTTCGATACGTCGACAGTAATATTTTCAATGAACAATTGAGAAACAATTAAAAAAAAAAACACACACACACACATTGCCAAAATTATGAATGCATTGGTACGCAACTCCCCGATATTAGCCTATCAATCCCAAATTCCCACATCTTACTCCTGTGCAGAGGATTGAGAAAAACCAAATTAATTACTCATATACAGCCACAGCAATAACAAATTATGAAATCTCGTTGCACCAAACGATGACAGAGTTTTCTGAAATAACGATAGCAGATCATTTCCTGGTACAGTGATTAATACGAAGTATGAAAATTGGAAAAAGAGAAATCTCAGGTTCATATTAGGTTGACATAGAACACATATAAAGCTACAAGATCATTCCTGAAACTTTTCTGTAGCAATTTTTCGACCTTACCATAAGAAGTTATAACGTTTAATTTATCAGAGACTAGACCTATTTTTGACCGGAAAAAAATTGTGTATGTGAGAAAGGACTTTCAGACAATAATGCTGCATATAACCATATTATCCACAGATTCACCTCTGCCCCCTACCAGCTTCCCTTGCAGCTGATTATATTACCACTGTGGCACCACATAAAGCTGTCCTCCAGGAATTATTATTTAACACTAAAACCTAATCTCTGAATACAATTTGTAAATCACAATTGGTCATGGATAATTTTTGAGTGGCCCCTTTAAGTTAGATCCATACTAGAAACTCAGAGCAAGTCAACTAAACTCTAAAAATAACCTTATTAAGCAACCTCAATAACTAGAAACTACACGACAATCAACTGGTCTCCAAAAAAACTTTACTCAATCTTTCCATTCAATCATGGAAGCAATCTATTGGGTGAAGGATTTCATTTATCTTTCTATCTATAAGCTACTACTATTTTTACAAAATTAATAACCTAGTAGTTAACAAGTCCAAGTGCATATGAAAGTATTGCAAAAAAAAAAAACATGGCATCATATAATACTATGAGATAACTAGACCATTCACTCTTGACGAAATATCCTCAATTCCTGAATTAAACTTCAAACATAATCATTCATTCATTCTCATATCAAAAAAGTTAATTGAATTTATTTTTTAACAATGTCTAGGAAAAGGCTAGGTCTACACTTGCAATCCGACACTTATTATAGACTCAATTCCTTTTGTAAATTAAATGTCTAAAAACTAGACATGAGATGTCAGTGAAATGAAGAGGCAAACAGGTCACGAAAATATTTTGCAATAATAAGTGGTTTCAAATGAAGAAGAATGAACTTAAGTGATGAATTCATGAACACTTTATTAACTTGGGTAGAACAAGAGATATAAAATACTTCATAATATCTCCAACAATGCACACATGTACAGAACAACCAAATAGAAGAATTGTGTTTGTAGAAATCAACATAAGTCCTCCCAACTTCATGTAACAAACACACAATGTGCAGATAGGTAGGCAAAGTTGTAACTTGTAAGCTCTCAAGTTAAGTTGAGCATGAACTCGAGCTCCCTCTTGGAGAATGAATATTTTCCTCTATTATCTCCACAACTTATACTTTATACAATACATCACCTTAATATTGCACTTGATAATTACGGGCCATCATACATATTATTACTCCAAGAACTCTAATCTTATCATCTTCATGTCATATATGTCACTTATATTTAAATTCTGCTTGTCAAGCACTATATCAACAATATCATCATTCATAAACACTCAATTGTCAGGCATAAGGTCGCAATTGGAGGTAATGTATGCAACTATAATCGCACTCGTAAAACATTCTCTAATCCTCAAACTCACATTCCCACACAGTACACACCAAACACCCAAATTGTGTAAGAATGTACACACCCTATATTTATTCTTCCTCCCACCCCTTTTTTAGTGCCAATCTTACACAATTGTAATTATTTCATACTTCAATTGTTTCATTTTATTTTTCAATTCTACCAAAAAATTCAATACATAATTCTAAACAAAAGTACCAAATCAACAAAATTCAACCCAAGAAAATTTATACCTTGGAATGAAATTTATCAATAGCAGCCTCAGCTTCATCTCCAGAATCCATTGTAACAAATGCAAATCCTCTGTTCTTCCCATCTTTATTTTTAATCAACTAAAACAATTTTCAACAAAGAAAAAAAAAACATCAAACAGAGTCAAAAATCAGAAATAAAACAATACTTCCTATAAGGGTCGTACCCGACACCCAATATCAAATCCCGTCTACATCACTGCCCTTTACGACTCACGACACACCCTAAAAATGAAGAAATTACCTCAATATCCCTGACAGTACCACACTCACTAAACACCTTCTTCAAATCATCAGAAGACAGAGAATATGGCAAATTAACCACATAAAGTTTCCTCTTTTGAATATTATTATCCTGGGTTTCACTGGGAATTTGCTCTAATGCAACTTCTTCAACTGCAGATTGTAATTCAAAAGTTGGTCTGATAAAGGGGGTATTTGAGGGGTAGAGGGGGAATTTGAGAGGAGAAGAAAGGGTAGAATTGGAAATGCGAAGATGAAATTGAGAAGGTGAAGATTTAGATAAGAATGGAAGTTTAGAGAGAGTGGGAGAAGGGAGTGAAGTGTGGAGGTGAGAGAAGAGGATAGAGGTTGTTGCTACTCTTGCTTCCATTGATAATCCTACCTTCATTTTTTTTTTTTTCAAACTCCTGGATTTTTTGTGTTTCTTCGTCTAATCTATTGGCTCGTAGTTTTCAAAACGCAACGTATTGATTTGTTCTAGGAATTCAATAACTTTTGAACGCGGCGTTTAACTGTTTTAAGGGATTTTTTTTTTTTTTTAAAGGTACACAAAAGTTTGGATAAAGGGATGTTCTTAATACGGCTGCACACGAGACACAAAATTCAGTAGATCCAATTGATAAAAGTTTCAACCATTGTATATTTAACATTTGTACTATTTAATTGCATCAAAAAAAAAACATTTGTACTATTTAAAATAGAATAAATGTGTGAAAACTCATTCAGATTCAATAAGTTTGCTCGGATTAAAATTATATATAGCATTTGTGATACAAACTTTTTGTGGATTTTTACATCTTTATTTTCATTTGTGTTAGGTTTTCTATTAGGTAGAGTTGAATTAGGCTCTTAAGTTAAATACATATTTTAAGTCAATTCAAATTCACTCAAATAGTTTATGGTTTAAATTTCTTTTAGGTTTGAGTTTTTTGGGAAATTAAGGTTCTCGTGTTGGTTGGTTTTCAACTCAAGTAATATAACTGAGAGTTTTGACAAATAATCTTTTCATCTGTTAAGATTTAAGGGGAAAAAATCACTTGTGTTGATGAGACGGTTGCATGTTCAATTTGACTTACTATCACCATTACACTCTGTACTTTTCAGGTGAGGAAAGTATGATGTCCCATTGAACTTGAGTAGAGTTGATCATCAATAACCTAAACTACTACGTCGACCTGACTTAGGCTGAAATAAATATGGCTTTAATATTTGATTGAAATAAACTTTAATATACCAATCTAATATATATATATATATATATATAGGGAAGTTTTTTTCCCGAGTTTTTAGACGTAGGATCTAATTTTCTCAGCGCGCCATGTAGGATTATAAATCTTAGTACTAGCCAATTAAATAAGAGATTATTAATTTCTTTTAGAATTAAATAATTTAAATGCCATGTAAGCAAAATTGGCGGATGAGATTTTTAAGTTTAAATTAATTAAATATTATATATTATCTTTTAATATTAGGAATTTTATCTAAATATATAACAAATTTTAGGCTCATAAATACAAAAAAAAAAAATTATTTTAAAAAAATCAAATAAACCGTGCATCGCACGGATTTCATCAAGTTGATGCATAGTTTTGACATAAATCTCAAAATTTTAACCATTATGGAAAATATATTTAATCCTAAACTAATACCCCGATCACTCGTTATCAAGATTTTTTTTAATTCGGAGTACACTGGATCCTTAAAAGACGAGTTGCAAGTTTGCAATGCCAGATTTCCAGGTGATCCAAAACAACAAGAACCAAGAAGCCCAAGACTTGTTGTCGTACTCACAAGTCCTAGCTAGAGTAGGCCCCAACACACAACACTGTTTATGGGCTCCAAAGTTGCCAATCTCGAGGACACACAATAAAGAGCATCATATCTCCACCCTTTAATCTGGCAATAAAGAACAAAAGCTAATCTCAATTTCAAATCAAATCCAATTATATTCATTTTAAACTTGGACTTTTTATTCCCAAACACAAACCTTTTACACATTACCTAAGCTTCTATTCTCATGCACCCAAAAAGAGTTCTTCATAACATAACACCCCATATTTTTATCCCACAACAAAATCAAATCCTTTCAAACAACTTACCAAAAATAAAATGGCCTTAAGCAACAATGTCATAGGAGCCATAAACTTCCTAGGCATACTCTTAGCAATACCGATTATCGGTACCGGTATATGGCTAATAAGTGATCCTGAGAATTCATGTATCAAGATCTTACAATGGCCGGTTATTATCATAGGTGCATTGACACTAATAGTTGCCCTAGCCGGTTTCGTAGGCGGGTTTTGGCGTAACGCTCCTTTACTAATATTTTACCTTATTGGTATGCTTATTATGATTATTTTGTTAGCATGTTTGGTTGTTTTTGTGTTCATGGTTACCAATAGAGGGTCGGGTCACCCGGCCCCTAGCCGGGCTTACTTGGAGTATCGCCTCGATAGTTTTTCGGGTTTTCTTCGCCGGAGAGTCAATGGGCCGTTTAAATGGGCCGTGATTAAGAATTGCTTAAGCTCTACTAGCATTTGTCCTGAGTTGAACCAAACTTATACTACGGCTCAAGATTTCTTCAATGCTCCTCTTTCTCCTATACAGGTAATTAATTCTTTTTAACACAATGTCTAATTTCTTTCTTTAAATATTTATTATCATTACTTCATAATTGTGTTTAGTTTGTTAATTTGTGTAATTATATGATTAGTTTGCTTAATATAGGTGAAAATGAAGAATTAATTAGTATATATGTTAAGAAAGCATGCATAGAATATTTGTTGATGCTTGATTTTGAAGATACTTATGTTGCATTTTTGAGTTCTTAATCTTGATTTTTTTCTCAGTTTTTTTTTTTTGTCCAATGTGACTTAGATCTGACCTTTTGAATGTATTGTGGTGGTGATGACTTTATACCTGTTACAAGCCATACAAAAGTTGACATATAAACGTCTAAAATTAGACTCTACTAGTAATAGTGCCTGTTTTATCCCCAAAATTAACTCTTAGTAATTTTCAAGATTAAGAAGAAACTAAAAAAAAAAAAGTGGTTCAACATTTAAGAAAAAATTGAGTGAGAATGACCAAGTGTAGGGCTAATGGACAACTTTGTAAATTGTAACCTTGTTGGACTTGTATGTGGTCAAACTCTTTTCGTCATAAACTTAAATACTCTGTATATCATCACATTAAATTTATCGCTAATTGTTCATGAGTACTCGTATTAAACCTTTGTGTTAGCTTGATATAGGGGACAAAATTCCTGTCAGGCATGATAATGACAAATTAATCTCCTTAAGCTAAGAACACTATGATTAATTAACATAGATCTTTAAAAAGCAGAAAAGGCAGAAGATTCCCCAACCCATGCATACATATTACATAGTACTCCTCAAATTCTCATGTTAAGAATCTATTGCACATTAATACATTATATTATATTACAATATATAAATGAAACCTTAATTAGTTAATTACCCAAATATAATTTATTCTTTACTTAGCATTGATGTTATTCGAAACTTTATGTTACACAGACAGGATGTTGCAAGCCACCAACAGCATGTGGTTACACATTCATAAACCCAACATTTTGGATAAGCCCAATTGACACTGCTGCTGACATGGATTGCTTAGCATGGAACAATGACCAAACCCAACTTTGCTACTCTTGTGAATCTTGTAAAGCTGGTTTACTTGCTAGTGTTTCTAGGCAATGGAGGAAGGCTAATATCATCTTAATTGTTACTCTAATCGCGCTTATTTGTGTTTATCTTATTGGTTGTTGTGCTTTTAGGAATGCCAAAACTGAAGAGATTTTCCGAAAATATAAGCAAGGTTACACATAATAAAATATGTGACCTAAACCTTTGCTTCGTATTAAGATTAATTGGACATATTATGTTTAGTTTAAGCTACATTATGGTTGATTTGATATGATTTTCTTGTAATTTCATTTTAATTTGTAATTTTTATAGTATTTGTTTTAGATTTTGCGTAGATTTTGTGGGAGAAGTGTAATATTCTTTTCTTGTGGTGGGGTTTTATGGGAGACTGAGAAGAGAACTTTTTGAAAGAATTGTGATTATTATCTCAATAACGAAATTTGCGGGTGGTGCCGAAAGGTGGGCATGCTTCGATGATTACAAATGTTTTTTTAAGCTATAATTGTTCTTATTATGATGTTAATATGTTACCATTAGTGTATTTAGCTCTAAAGTTGAAATTGCTAATTACACACAAAACTATACAAGTAGCAAATTACGAGTAGGGAAACACGACTCTATCTAATTGGTGTACAACGTTAAGAAAATTTGAGTACATGTATTCTTTTACGAGTTATGTAGAGCATTGTTACTATTTTTAAGCAAAAGAGTACATCAAGGCATTAAGCCACTCTAATCCAACCAATTAAAGGAGACTAGGAGAGGCTCATAAAGCTAGCCACTTAGCTAGCCGGATTGAGTTTGGTAACCTAGCTACTAAACCAAATGCATTGCACTATTCACATACATCACATTAACTGATATTTGTGCTTTACACATGAGGTAAACATAGTTATGTTAGTTATTTTTTACATAAATATCAACTTTGTATACATATACATATTGATAATTAAAGGCACCATTAACAATTGTCCTAGTCAAATTGGGGCAAAAAAATAGAACATAGAAAGAATCAAAGAATATATAAAATTAAAGATATTTATCGATATATAAACATAAATAATACGGAGTAACTTACGATAGGATTTGATCTAATTTGCTATGATTATTTCTAAAATAAGCAAATACAAACCTGCCTATTACTAACAAATTCACAAGCTGAGCCTGTCTATCTTTGGGCCTGGCACAAAGACAACATTACTTTGTTTGAAGCCATTTACTCTCTCAGCTTTTAGCGTGGGATTTTAATCTGGCCCAATGAACCTGAGGCCTCTTCACATCTAATGAGTCACATTATTTATCATCATGCCATTTTATTTTGTGAAGGGATTCACATTTAATGAGTTACCCAACTTAACCAAATTTGTGTTCCATGATTTTGGGGATGAAACATTTTGACCAGGATCCACAATTTTATGGGAATTGGAACGTGTAACCATTAATTTACCCGTCAAAAAAAAAAAAAAAAATTTAATTTGAAACGGAAATAAATTAAAGATATTGGTCCTCGTACTCAATGTAGCTTAGCCTAAAACAACTTAAGTCTAGCTTGTAACTAATGGATTCCTTGAAATGATGCATAAATCTTTGGATTTGGGAGCATCAACCATAATGCTGCAAAATTCATTCATCGGAAATGGCTTGACTTTAATTAATGACTTTGTACTTATCTCAATTCAATTTATTCCACCATGAATAAGTCAACTTGTCCTCTTTATTTAGTTTTTGTTACAACATGGATTGCCTAAGTCAACGTTACATATTCAATACAGACTATATCTTCCACCTGCAAACACCAGTAAGGTCAACGATGCACTGTCAATTTGAGTTAACAAAATTTGCACGAGTACGGTCAACAGGTAAACTCAATTCGACTGTATTGCCAATTTTGCCATAAACCTTGAAATGTGTTTCCGTAAATGATACAATTCGATATAACTATTAATTAGTCGATCCTTTACCGTAATATACCTCGTGTATATTTTATTGACGAGCTAGTAGATATGATACATTGTATTGAATCAATAAAACTATATAGAAGAATATGCATATGATATGACATCGATGATTATATGTATAGTTTTTTTTTTTTTTTTTTGACGGGAATGATGATATATATAGTTAACAAACTCAGAATACCTAACAAAAAACATGTACATATACTCAGCAAAACAAAGCAAATAACAGTAGCTATTCCTCTCCCAACCATATTCCTGTAAGTACACATTTAGCCGTCAGATTTTACCCTAACCACATATATAATTCTAACATGATAATATAAAAGTCAAAATTAATGAATTTTGAGTTGACAACTCATTTATGCCATTTCATCAACTGTGAACTGTTTCTATCCAAACCAAAATATTAGGTGATACAATTTTTATTTTTATTTTTAATTCTATATAACCAATCATTTTCCTTTTAATAATTTAGGATAATGTTATATCAATAAAAAGTTAGCTAAGATTGAATAATTTGCCACTCTTAATAATAATTAATTAACTAATATCAATTCATAATCTTAAATGTCATAGACAACTTGGAACATTGCTGCTTTTTTGGAATTTTTCTCCCCTACCCACCAACTTTTTTTTATCTATATATTTATATTAACATTCTAAAGGGAGCCATAATTCATTAGAGCCAGTATATCAATTATAATCTATTTGATGAATTATGTCTTCAAAACAAAATAATCTATTTGATGAATTGTATGCTGCATTTTTGTTCACCTGTAGATATGGTAAAGTAGATTCCTGGAGCATCAAAAAATATGCTCCACAATAGATTAGCTATATTATTACACGGAGTATCACTTTATTGAGGTTGAATAATTTAATTACCAATGGCCCTCCGACCAATATGAATTTATCTTCCGTCTACTTTTGTATGGTGTCTACTTATATCTTAGCTAGAATAGCTGAAATATCGCTACTTATCATTTAGAAAATAGTTATTCATATACGAAGTGTACAATTTTAAAAAGTCTATTAAGAACATCACATACTGCCTAAAAATTATAAAAAAAAAAAATATATGAGGAAAAATATATAATAATAACTCGTATAAAATATCAAAGTTAGTTCGTTATTCATTTTGATCGAAATGACATCGGATATGCTCACATAGTGTCTTAGCTTAGAGATAGAAGATCATCGTGTACAAGCTCACTTGACATCACTAAATAGTGAACACACCAAGAATATCTTTTCTATAGCTTATCCAAGATCATTGTATGTCATCTATATTAATAAGCCCAATATCGTTCAATACAAGGAGATTATTACCATATATATACATACGTAGGTGATAATTAAGTTAACTAAGGTTTGCTAATCACGTGTAATATTGTTTATATTTTTTAAGGATTTATGGAGCAAATGGCATGCATATTCTTTCTTTATAAATTTAAAGTGGTGCTATATAGTTCATCATTTACACAAATTAAAGTTGTAAATTGTCCCACACTCACTATAGGTATTAGGTAACCATGCATTTTGCAATCTAGTCTCTTACCATTTGGTAAATTAAATCACATTTATTATTATGGCTCCATTACTCTATGTTCAATTAGTTCCTGTCTTATACGAGTATCACTTTTTGAAATTTTAGATATGACAATTTGAGTATTTATGGGTTACGGAGTACATAATTATTGATTATACGGAGTACATAGTTATTGATTATAAATTTCTTCAATCATTTAAGTAATTGTGCTTCAACAATGTATGTGTTGTAAAATAAAAACAATGAGATCATAAAAGTCACGGATTTATTATTCAAATAAAATGAACTCACAGATAAAAGTCAAAGAATGTGCAACTTTTTTTTCATTGACCGGTGTCATTAGTGTACGGGATATACCGGTAGTATCATAATATGCCGGTAAAAGAGTGCCTTGCAGTTTAAAGAAATGGTTAATCATTGAATAATTCATGTCCTTACCGGCATTAGTCTGTACCACGTGGAGAGCTGCTTCTCGGAACGTGGCATGCCCCACTGACACGTGGAGAACTGCTTAGTGTCGCGTAAGCACCTGCTAGTACCAAGGTCGGTGTGCCACCTATCTGTATAGGTGGCACCTGCTTGGTTGCGTTCCTATAAATACCCAAACAAATCCTCATTTCAAAGGTAGAATCTCTCTCTCTCTCTAAAACACTTTCTATCTCTTCTTTCAATTTCTTCTCACAAAGGTACTGACTTTAGCATTGGAGTGGTTATTCCCGGATAACCCCCGGGCTAGCTAATCTGTATTGGCTGTGTAGGTGAGCAATTGGACGGTAAACCATTACCAGCCCTCAGGCAGTAACGGAAGCAGAATCCAGCTGGAACAATTGGCGCTAGAAGGAGGGGAAAGTAATAACTTCTATCGTCCAAAAGGACCTCTCACAGTCATGGAAGGAAGTAAGGAAACTTTAGTACCGGTGCCTGAAGTTGATAACCGGCAATATGACAACGGCAATAAAACCGTGCTACCAGAAATCATGGTCGAAGATGAAACTCATCTCCTTCACGGTAACACAATGAACAGACCCGTAACACCTGACCGTAGTAGAGCATTAACCCCAAATCCCCTGGAAGGTTTACCCCGGAAGAGCTAGAGATAACGGCCAAGGTCATGCGGGCTATGTATAAGAAAAGAAAGGAAGCCGAGTTAGCGGCAGGGGGAATGCGGGATGAGGAACCGACAAAGCCGCTGATAGTGAACTTGGAGAGTCAGTTCAATCAAGCAGGACAGCAACAACCGTCAAGAAACCGGGGCCGAGAAACCATACCGATTGAGCGCCAACTCACACAAAGCGCTCAGGTAGGGGATTCAGGTTCTTACCGGCATGAGGTCTCTAGTGGCTTGGAAAGGCGGGCAGTCAGGGCGATCATCAGGCCCAGAATATCTCCATTCACACAAAAGGTACTTGACCAACAAATGGAGAAAATAAAGATGTCGTCCTGTACGTATGACGGTAAGGGGGACCCAAAGCGGTATGTGGCTGCGTTTGAAAGTCACATGTTGCTATATACCGATACCGATGTTGTGTGGTGTAAAGTTTTCCCTACGACTCTTATCGGCTCAGCTTCGGATTGGTTCTCCAATTTAGAGCCGGGATCAATTGACTGCTTTGAGACCCTGGTGGAGTTGTTCACAGGTCAGTACATAAGTAATAGTGAGAGACAAAGGACATCTGGCGAGCTCATGGCTATTCGGCAACGAAAGGATGAGTCGCTCAGGGATTTCATTAGACGCTTCAACAACGAGGCTAACACTATACCAAAAATGCAGCAAGAAATTGCCGTGATGGCACTGATGAATGGGCTGGAGGACAACGACTTCAAAAAATATATGTCGCGGAAGTCTTTCCCAAACTTAGGGGTAGCATTTGCTAAAGCTCATGAATACATAAAGAGTGAGGAGCTGCTGAAAACGAGCCGTCAGATATCGTCGGCAGAGCCCTCCTAAAGGCAAAATGATAATAGCTCGAATTCTCAGATGGGTGGGATAAACAGGGTGCTGCCGCAAGGCCAGCAGAGATCTGGAAGGCCGACACGGGGATTGGGTCGTTATAGTAGTTATACGCAGTTAAACACCCCGAGAGCGGCAATATATTCAATAAACCAGAATAGAGAGGATTGGAGTCGACCGGCACCGATGATAACGAAGGGCCGGGACGTGAAGAAATATTGCATGTTTCATAGAGACGTTGGTCATTACACCGAAGAATGTGTTCAGTTAAAAGAGAACATTGAAGATCTCGTAAGGAAAGGGCGATTATCCCAGTATCGTACCCAGGCAGGCCCCGGCCGACAGCAAAATTCACAGCCTAAACAAATCGACTACCGAAAGCAGGAAGATCCATCAATGCAAGATGATACTTACAGACAGAATCACGCGGAAACATCTAGACAGGGAGGTAATCCGACAGGGCATAAAATAACAATCGACGTTATTACGGGAGGGCCAGTATATGGAGGTTCCGTAAGCGGGGCCAAGAAGAGTTTTTCGGAATACCGGCACCTAGTTAATGCTTTGAGCGTAGAGGAACGACCTCGGCCTTCTTCCATGCTTTCGATATCTTTTTCGAAAGAGGATGCTAAGGGAGTAATTTACCCTCATGATGATCCGTTGGTGCTAATATTGACGGCAAATGGAGCAGATATCAAGCGGGCACTCGTTGACGGCGGAAGTTCCGCAAATATCCTGTTTGCTAGGGCTTTTGATGCCATGAGGATTGGCCGAAAATACTTGACGCCAGTGTCCTATCCCGTGATAAGTTTCAACGGATCGACGGTAAGACCTGAAGGTAGTATTGTTCTTCAGGTTCGAATGGGAGAGGGTCCGGCAGTAAGAGACGTTATGGCGGAATTTTTGGTGATTGATGTGTCATCCGCTTACAACGCCATTGTCGGCAGGCCTCTAATTCATGACATGCAAGCTGTGGTCTCAACGTACCACTTGACGATGGTGTATGTATCCAACGCGGGAACGACAGAACGCGTACGGGGTAGTCAAACTATGGCAAGAGAGTGTTATGTATAGGCACTGAAGCAGCCAGGCCGACAACCAACTTGTGAAAAGACACCAGCCAAGCGAGAACGAATTCCCTCTACACATGACTTGGCTATGGAAAATTTTGATACTCGGCCGGTAACAGCGCCACGTCCTTCCCCAGGAGGCGAAACTGTAGAGATCGAATTGCAGCCTGGAGTTCCTGGTAGGTTAGTGCGTGTCGGATCCGATATGGATGTCGACACACGCTGCCATTTGGTAGAATTGTTGCAAAAAAGTGCTGACGTGTTCTCTTTCTCGGCAGACGAGATGCCAAGGATACATCCCGACGTCATAGTACATAAGCTAAATGTCGACAGGAGGGCAAGACCTGTTCGGCAGAAGAAGAGGAACTTCTCAACAGAGAAAATGGAGGCTATTCGGTCAGAGGTGAATAAGTTGCTAGCGGCAGGGTTTATCGAACCTTGCACATACCCCGAATGGTTAGCAAATGTGGTTATGGTGAGGAAGCCGTCAGGGAAATGGAGAATGTGCGTGGATTTTACAGACTTGAACAGAGCCTGCCCGAAAGATTGTTATCGCTTGCCCAGGATAGATAGATTGGTAGATTCAACCTCCGGTCACGCGCTATTGAGCTTCATGGACGCTTTCTTCGGATATCATCAGGTCAGCTTATATGAGCCGGATCGAACCAAGGCGGCATTCATTACCGACTCCGGAGTTTTCTGCTACAAGGCTATGCCGTTTGGATTGAGAAATGCAGGGGCTACGTACCAGAAGCTGGTCGACAAGGTATTTGCAAACCAGAAAGGAAGAAATGTAGAGGTGTATGTGGATGATTCAATTGTGAAAAGTCGTTTGGCTACAGACCACGTCGCCGATTTGAGAGAAACTTTCGAGACACTTCGGCGTTACCGGATGAAGTTAAACCCAGAGAAGTGCATGTTCGGCGTGCAGTCAGGAAAGTTTCTCGGTTTCATGGTAAGCGAAAGGGGAATAGACGCCAACCCCGATAAGATTGAGGCGATTCTTAGTTTACCAGAACCAAAGTGTATAAAAGACATACAGAGGCTCACTGGTCGGATGGCCGCGTTAACGAGATTCATCAGCAAGTCAGCTGATAAGGCCTTACCGTTCTTTGTGATCTTGCGTCAGAACAAGCTGTTTGAATGGGGGAAGGACCAATCCAAGGCGTTTCAGGCTGTGAAGAATCACTTGAGGTCCTTACCCACCGTTGCAAGGCCAGAACAAAGAGAAATATTACAGATTTATATCTCCACGTCGGCAAAGACGGTAGCGGCGGTGCTCCTAGTAGAGCGGCATAAAACACAACTGCCGATTTACTTCGTGAGCCACGTCTTAAATGCTGCCGAGAGAAGGTACTCGTTAGTAGAAAAGATCGCGTACGTAGTAGTTGTGGCCGCACGAAAGTTGCGCCCTTATTTTGATGCACATGCAATTGATATCTTAACGAATCAGCCGTTAGAGAAATCTTAGCAGAAGATGGAAACGTCTGGACGACTGCTTAAATGGGCTATTGAACTGTCTGAGTATGTTATTACGTATAAACCAAGAGTATCAATTAAAGCCCAGGCCTTGTCTGACTTCATTGTGGAAACGTCCTATTATGAAGAGGAGGATGCTATCGGCGTATGGAAGGTATCAGTTGTCGGCTCTTCTGCTTCAACCGGCTCAGGAGCTGGAGTAATTATGATCTCTCCCCAGGGAGATGTGTTCGAGTATGCCGTTAAGTTCAAGTTCAAAGCCTCAAATAATGAGGCAGAATATGAAGCAACGTTGGCAGGAATACAGTTATGCATATCTGCGGAAGCAAGGCGTATTGAGATGACAACTGACTCGCAATTAGTAGCAAATCAGTTCAATGGCACTTACGAGACTCGAGAGCCAAGCATGACGGCATATTTGGAAAAACTCAAGAGTGTTGCGTCTGGTCTGGAGTATTTCGAAATAAAGTTGGTTCCTCGAGCAATGAACACACAGGTTATGGTAGAGATTTTGAAAGAAAGAAGTATTGATGAACAACCTCCTAAGGACGTATGTTGTACAACTGGGGGACGAGAATGGTATGATGATATCTTGGCTTACAAAATACATAATGCACTTCCTGCCGGCAAGACGGAGGCAAGAAAGGTCCAGAAAGACAGTGTCTGGTTTATCATGTTCCGAGGTTTGTTGTATAAGCGGGGGTTTTCGTTACCGCTGCAAAGGTGTATAACGGCTTATGAGTCGGCAAGACTGATAGAAGAAATACACGAGGGTGATTGCGGCAATCATGCGGGGGGTCGGTCAATGTCCTTGGAAGCAATGAAACGAGGCTACTACTGGCCAACGATGAATGCAGATACCATGGAATACGCAAAAAAATGTGATAAATGCCAGAAGTACGGGCCGGTAATTAATCAACCTCCCAATGATTTGTCACCTATTCTTAACCCAATCTCGTTTGCTCAGTGAGGGATGGACATTATAGGGCCGTTACATCGGCAACAGGTGGCCGTAAGTTTTTGATTGTAGGGATAGACTACTTCACAAAATGGATAAAAGAAGAACCGGTAGCAAAGATTACAGCGAATGAGGTAAAAAAGTTTATCAGGAAAAGCATTTTTACGCGGTTCGGGTTGCCGACAACAATGGTGTTTGATCACGGATCACAATTTGACTGTAGCCCGGTAAAGAACTTTCTAACCATATACAAAGTAAAGTTTGTGTATGCGGCAGTATGTCACCCGCAGTCAAATGGCCAAGCTGAGGCCGCTAACAAGCAGATACTAGGGGCAGTTAAGAAAAAAGTAGAAGACGCTAAAGGCTTGTGGGCAGATCTGATACCCGAGATTTTGTGGGCGAATCGTACGACAACAAGAGAAACTACGGGGGAATCTCCTTTTAACCTCGCTTTCGGCTCGGAGGCAATGGTTCCGGCGGAGGTGGGATTACCTTCTTTTCGGGTACAACACTTCTGCGAAAGTCAAAATGATTTGTTGCTCCGACAGCAATTGGATTTTCTACCGGAAGCAAGGTTGACAGTTGCCATAAAATCTGCGGCATACAAAAACCGAATGACTTACGCTTATAACCGGCGCATCAATTATCGGCCCATGGAAGACGGTGATTTAGTTCTGCACAGAACGGACCCAACCGGCAAAGGAAACGTAGAGGGTAATCTTACTGCAACCTGGGAAGGGCCTTACCAAATATACGAAACACTTCGACAAGGGTCTTATCGGCTAATGTCCCTTGAAGGTGTTCCTTTGAAAAATGTTTGGAACGCTAGTGTATTAAAGAAATATTTCATGTGAAATGTGTGTTCTATTTTACATAGTATAAATTTTGATGACATGTTGTCATACGTAAGTTCTCGGCATTTATTAGTATTGTAACCTATTTCAACACTTATAAAATCGCATTACCTACTTTCGATACGATCTGATCACAGCCTAGCTATCTGACTCGGTCGTTCAAGTGAGGGAAGAATAATAAAATAAGATAATAATGGACCTCAAGGGGAGTTGAAAGTGCGGTCTGATCCACTGCCTTTGCTCGGCCTGACAAAGGTTGGATACTTTATCTCGTTATGTTTCATATCCGATGTTCAACACAAGCATTACAGAGTTTTCCCAGAATTTGTTTACGAATAAATCCTGCCGAAAAACTCGGGGAGTATTATTGGTAAGGTGTATCTTGAAAACACCGATTAGAAATACCGAGAAATGTAATTTTTAAATGCCGAAAAACGTACATTCGTGTTAAAAATCAAGGAATAACTAAAACACGATTCATAAAACAAAGTAATATGGTAAGGAAGTAAATAAAGCTGATTAGAAATAATGGTAACGAGTACAGACACGCAACTACAATATTTAAACAATCAAAAGAAAATTTGTTGCGTAATACAGACAGGTGTATTTGTCAAAGACATGGAAAAAGGCACAGACAAGCATAAACATTGTAACCCAGAGATGACTGCCCTCCTGATTAAATCTTGTCGGCCTCCTTGGTTGGTTCAGCTGCATTAACAGACTCTTTCTCAGCTTCTTTATTGGAGGGACCGGCAGACCCATCTTCACCAACATGAGTGGTAACATGACTATTGATAAGGGCGTCATCAAACTCCATTTCCGGCAACTCGCGTGGGTCTAGGTTTGTTATCACTGCATGCGGGGGGATCTCGTCAAAGTACTCACTCTCATAGCTGGTAGGAGAGTGGTTCATCTCTTCGTTAAAAGCCCTCTCGACGGCCTGCCACTTCGTCGAATCCCACCCCTCCGCTTTGCACACGCAACGATGCGCAGAGACCCAGCCGGCAGTATACCGGTCAACCAGCAAGTTGGCGTAAAGGTCGGTCTGCAGGAACCGATTAACGGCTCGGCGCCTGATTCCCGGCTTGTCGCGCTCCATTTTCTCAACTTGGCTGGCCAGTTGTGCTTTAGCCTCCTTTTCATCCTTCAGGCTCTGCTCCAGGCTGGCTACCTTCTTTTGCAACAGCTCCTGGTCCGTCAGCTTCCTGTTTAGGTCAGACACTCGCTTCTGCAGGGTCTTCACATCAGATATAACCTTGTCGCGCTCCTTCACGACGAGCTTGCAAGAGTCGTCAGCCTTCTTCATCCTGGTCTTGGCATTATCGGCGGCGCGCTGATAATGCTGGTACATGTGTACCACCTCGACAGCAGAGTTGACGGTCTAATTGAAATTGCCGTTAGTAAACATTATTTTATAACGTAGGAATGATAGGTATCTAAAGGTAATGATAATGTCTTACCCGGAGCATATTGTTCATAAGCTGGCCACAGGGAGCAGCAATGCGATTGGATGGCCTGTCGGCTGGAGTTGCCAAGTCCTTTAGCACTCTCCACCCCATGCTCCCGCCAGTGCTAGGGTCGTCACTGAGAACCGACTCCCCACGATTAACATTGATTCGGGGATGCCATGGGTCACCCGCAGCACCGACCGGTACAGCCAACTCCTCAGCAACTCCTTCCGGGATTCTGACGTGCGGAATCTCGATGAAATCA